TGTACTTCAAATTACTGGTACATTTGGTTGTATCTATTCCATGTAACTTCCAGCAATTTAAGGATACTTTCTGCGTTTGATTATGCAAAGGTGCGGCTTAAAATAATTTGAAGGATGTAGCAAACAAACTATTGGCAGAAACTCTCAGGAAAGATTATTCAGTGTCGATTATTGGTCGTTATTCAACGTATTGGTCAATGGTATTGATTTTATTATTTGGGAAGTTACTTTCTCCAATTCTCATTCCGACCAAATGCACATTTATACTTTTCATGAGCTTTGATAGAAAAACCAAACTTGGTTACGTGTCTAGAAATGAAATGTGATTATTAACCCTTTTCACCATTTTTGCAAAGTGAATAAAATTAGTTTTGAGCATTTGTCCGCTATGACTTGACCAAACTACTCGGCAGCGTTAGTAGAGTGCCATCAAAGAATCTCCTCTCTCCTCAAATTGAGACTAAAGAGTGAATTCTCAGTAATCTCTTCTAATCACAACACATCAAGTGCCAAACCTCACGTTCGTTCGACAAACCTCGCTTCAGCAATTTGAGTAAACAATGTGCCAACATACTGACCATGGCCAAACACACTGGTCAACTTGTGTTGATTGAGAGATTTTGCTGTACACATCGGACTTGAATCTATTTGTATGGCTTTTCCAATGATTTCCAGCCACACGATCCCCCGTCTCACCTATTATGTATATAGATCAAGGTTTACTCGAGTTGTTTGCTTGTATTAATGACTAGACATGATGGATGCTTACTCGGAACATACATAAAAAATATATGTAGGATGCTTAAAATACACCTTAAGCATTCAAAGCGAGTGAGTGTTTCTGTGATCATGTTTTTCATCTGTTGGGACTCAGGACGGAGAAGGCGAACGTTTAACAAAGTCTCAATGAGTGGCACAACCTCTAATAATAACTGCATTGGCGTCATCCGCAGCGTCATTTCCCGTACAATTATAGCTATCAAAAGGTGATCCTGCCTGTCCTTTGGCACTTTTCCAATTATTATGACTTTGGGTACAACACAAAATCTGTAGTGGACGGTTATTTAATATACCTCTTATATTTCTTGGCTCTGATAATGGTCGCAACCCCAGTGCCAAATTATCATTGCCGACAGTTGGTTAAAAGTGAAAATATGATTGCATTCAGAGGCAGCATGCCGAAGAAAGAAACATGGAATGCTTATTCAGTCTGATTGAGTCATAAAAAAACCCAACAAAATTATAATTCAAGTGATATCAGTCATACATCCAATATAATTTGTCTCACTTAAATTGCTAAAATTCAGGAAAAGTTGTAGACTCGAGTTCAAACCTAGAGGATCTTTTGTTCACTGTGCCATTCTCCTTTGGTACATTTAATATGCATAATAGCGTTTATAGTAAATATACATTGTACATATGTAGATATCCAAAGTAAACTACTCACCGTGTATTTTGGAGTAATTGGAAGGAATGTTGTTTCTTGGTGATTGTCCGGATTGATGGTTGTGATTGATAATCATCGTTCCTGGTGATCCACCACCGGGACTTTGTCCTGGAAGGGGCTTTCCTCCCATCATTCGGCCGTCGCCACCTTCAATACTGCCAGCAGATGAAGTGTTGGGGGACAAGCTGGACGACATTGTCGTCTCAGGTTGTTCAGGTATGGCCATCAACATGACGATCACAGACAGAAATCTAGTACCAACCAGTAGTATTTAATTCAATATTATATTATTGTTGGTAAAGATTTTTTATTATTTTGAATCGTGACGAGGTTATGAATGTATGTACTGGCTATGAGGAAAAAGAGGCTCCTATTAATCGCACCTGCCTTGACCTGACTGCATGAATCAGGAAATCGGTTAAGAAAAGTAGCATTTGAATTTCATTTAGCCCATAATTTATTATTCTTAAACTGCATTTCCCATCCACTGTTAACCTTTTCTTTTAATATCCACGACGGAAATAAACACCAACCTTATTATTATTTTTAGGCTATTCACAATGAGTACAGGTCCATATATATGAAATTGCTCAAAATAGCACGCGTTCCTTGAACTTGCATATTTTATATTTGGATTGGAATGCCACGTAGGAATGATTAAAAAAATAACAATTTACATACGTAGTTAGTTAGGTATATACATGCATTTGTAATATACAGGGATGAGGCAATAATTATGCAGTGTCTATCTAGTAGAAAGCAGGTCTGCACATTTAGAAGAATTTTGTAGAGATCATGTCAAAGAAAACTTTGCTATTTTTACATTCCACATGGGCGAGATATCTTCCTCGTGGAGCTGTTTATTAGTTTTGATTGGACATGTGAAAAGGGAATTAGATATGTGTGTACAAGAGTGAGTCGAAAGCAGATATATGTATGCACGTGTCTAGGAATGAAAACGAACTGGAGTAAAATATGTGTATATTGATATTGCCTCGTGTCTTAGTTTAAAGTTTGGGACCGAAATAGAACGCAAAATTTGTTTTCCTTTCGTACAAATGAATGTCCATCACCATTTAATTATATATGAAACCAACAATTGTTTTCGTGCAACGAAGGCTTTGTCATCAGGCAGAGGGGAGAAATTTATTTGCTGATCGATAAATATTGTACAAACTAAAGTCCAATTCGAAATCATAGCTTGTGGATTTGCATATTTTATGAGCACTCAAACTTTTCTCAATGAACCTTTCATCGTTTCAATACAGCCGAACTGTTATTCATATCAAAGTGCTGGATCAGGCTTTCTACCCCGGAAAATAGTGGTATGCTGCAAATTAACGGTTGGCAAATCGACACGTGGAAAGTAATTTTCGACAACCCGGTTATCCTTGACTGTATTGAACTTGACCATGTCGTATTTTTAGAATCAATAATTCGATCGTATTACTCGGCGACAGAGAGAGACACACACACACAAAGTAATTACCCCGCATTAAACATAGAACCGTGAAATGTCAATAAATAAAAATATCCTGACATATTTAATGCAACGGTTTGTTTTTAGATGTTTCCTTTCCATCATCGCCGCCCAAATAAGCGGTGACAGTTACATAAAATTATGAATGATGCTAGCTAACAAATCTTACAGCGGAGGAAACTCATGGAATTAGATATTTTGGAAAACAGCCCAAATGACGACGTGACGTGCTCAAACACATTTATTGTCACACACGGCAAAAGCTCTTCGCCCACTCCGCATGGCTTTCCATATTTTAATTTTTAGCTAAATACTTTTTCGCCGTGACCTTTAGGGTGGCGGTGCCAAGGAGTGTTCGGTGGTCGGCGAGGATTTAGAGAAGAGAAAGTGTGGTTACTTACGCGCAAAGGATCCAGCGAGATGAAAGCTCACATGAACGTATGTTTTGTTTGGAGTCACATTTTCACTCCACTTTCTCTGACTTACATTGCGAGAGAGAGAGAGAGAGCGAGGAGGGCTGCTGGCTGGCTGGCTGTGGAGCAGTTGGTGGTGGAGCGGTAAGTATTAATAGACTGCGAGTTGTGGAGGAACCCGGCTGGGAAAAACTGGAAGAAAGCACCACCACACTCGTCGACCCCATTCGGTCCCCCGGAGAAAGCAGCAGCCCAACCCCTCCTCTCGCCTCCTTATTCCTGGAATCTCACCACCACCACCTACGACGCCGACAACGACTGCTTCCAACAGCCTCCTCCTCCCTTCATTACACTTTTCCTACCTTTCTCCTCATCCATCACATCATAAAGCCAACGCTAAGGTTCTGCTAATGAGCTATTGCTTCCAAACTTTGTGTAATCAGCAGTCACGTAGTGCAAATCCACCCTCCTCCATTGTGCACACTTCCAGAGTCCTTAGGTCGTCGTTGAATTGAAAAACGAAATGTCAGATATTAATTTTATTAGGCATCTTAATAAGCATAGATTTCAACCTTGAACGTCGGACACATTGACACAATTGCGTGCATGAAGTGCATATGAGAAAGTGTGGAGTATGTAATTGAAGAAATCGAGAGCGTCTTCTCTTTTTATTGAGCTTTGTCTTTTCACCCCTGACGAGGTTTCAAGAGTACGTGCCCATCACAGAGTAGGTAGCAAAGCAGCTTTCTCACTCGCACCATGAGTGGAACGTTCCTCTCTGGCTTTCTCACTGTCCTTTTGATTTGGCATTTCCAGGGATTTTCCTCTCCAACTTTCACATGTATGGAGCCAAAAGAAGTCTAATCGAACTAGTCAACCAAACAGGAGCAATGTCGATAAGTTCTTCCAGGGTGATGGGCATATATATATAAGCAATTTAAGCAAATGCATATATCTACCTTTGGCAGGTATCAGACTTACATTGTGGAGAAGCAATATTTCATTTGCCATTCTTGTAATTGGTTATGCTATACTTTTCAACATCTCATTAAGGATCCTGTATGTATAGAATCCACTGCTGCTCAAAACTCGTGTAATAACTTGCTCATCAAAAGTGTGGCCTGGAATATGCCAAAATGTAATCAACTCACAAAATCAATCAGAGTGCTGCGTGTTTTGCATGAATTCAAGGACGTTGATGATTTTGCTCTTACTCGCTCTTTCAAAATTCTTTGAAATTCAGCTCACACAAAGCATTAGGAGTCGTTCACATCTCCTCGTTTATACTTTCCAAAGAGAAAGTTTCCAGACATTGCATTTAAATTAAAGAAATAGCCTTATCTAAAGGAGATGAATAACGCAATGGAAAATATGTTAGATATTTATTACACTTGGGAAAGAAATTAGAGGCAGCTCATGAAATGTGTTTAGTGTAACGATTTTGAGTACACGTACACGTTTCGTAGTATGTTTAGCTATTAATTTGAATTTATGAAGCAAGACACCTCAAAAATTGAGTTCTTGCACCACAAGGCAAAAAGATAGTCATACTAATTCATAGATGATATGATGAGACTAAAATTTAATCATTATTATCAAAATCGTCATCTAATATCACGTTGAACAAATATAAATTAGCGAATCTGTAACATAAGCTTAAATACGGAAGCAACATTTACAGACAATCTCAACTCGTCCCAACTCTCACGTTTGTTTAAAGCAACTTTCACCAGGCAGCCCGAGGGTGTGCTTAAACTGTATCAAGTCCAATGTTGTTGTTGTTCTATTCGCAGCGTAACTTTCTGCTTCCGTTTCATAACCAATATGAGGTAAATATCTGTGAAAAATTGTAATTGTTGAGCCGTTTTTGACAATGAAGTTGGAAGAACTGCAACTGGGACGGAAAGTTGGTCCGAGCATACTTCCCATTATAATTGGTGCGGCTGTTTTTTCGATTTCCACACTAATTTGGATTGTAAACTACTTTTTTCCAATTATTACTACAGCATCCGTTACAGGAGGTAATCCATAACATTAGAAAAATTACTGTGCTACATCTTACAGCTCTTCATGCATAATTTTACCACTTAAATGGCTGTAAACTAAGTGAAAGCAAGTATGTTTATTAACAGATCATGATGTCACTCCTGGACGCTGGTTCGTCGCATTCCTTGTGCCCGTGGTCTTCACTGCGTATGGAATTCGAAAAAAGAGTCTCAGCAAAAGCGGAGCTGTCTGCGGTAGTTGGAAAATAAATTAATGGACATATTCCTCGTATAGTTAATATGTAATTATCTATTTTTTTAAATTGACAGCTCTGTTTGTTGGATTCTTCCTAACTATCAGTAGCTATTGCTTCATGATGTCGTTGATCGTCTTTTTCCTGACATCCTCTAGAGCTACAAAATTTAGAAGCAGCAGAAAACGTCGTTTTGAAGAAGATTTTAAGGAAGGTACGTACGTTAGATACAATATTTTTTCCCCTTTGACTTATTGTAAATCAATTTTGTTAAATAGGGGGTCAGAGGAACTGGATTCAAGTTATATGCAATGGAGGAATGGCAACACAGTTGGCGATAGTTAGACAACTTTATTGATACTCATATTCTTCATATGCCTAATTGCGGATTATTTTGTTTAATTTCAGCTATATTTGGTCGATATTGGGTGGGGGGAGAAACCGATAGACTTTGTACTAGACCATCGAGCTTCTTGGCTTGGGACTGCAGTTCTTGGATCATTGGCTTGTGCGAATGGCGACACCTGGGCAAGTGGTAATAAATCAATCTTTGAAATATGAGAAAGTTTATATGCAAATTAACTTAGGATTAATTTAATTCAAACAATAATTTATAATACTAACTAATCAGAGCTGGGAACAGTCATACAAACAACAACACCGAGATTGATTACGACTTTTAAGAAAGTGCCGACCGGTACTAATGGAGGAATAACATTGGGTGGGTTGATTATGAGTGCACTGGGAGGTTGCGCAGTTGGCCTAGGATACTATATGACGACAATCTTTGTCGTTGATTCCGCTATTTTGGAAAGGAGTCCACCTCAAGTAAGTACATTACAGTAATCGGTAATAATAATATCTTAGGAAGAATTAATTTGATGACGGAAATTGTAGTGGCCTTTATTGATTATTGGAACTATTGGTGGATTACTGGGAAGTGTGATTGACTCTGTGTTGGGTGCGACTTTACAGTATTCTGGTAAATGTCACAAAAATTAAGTGAGATTAAATTTATGATTAGACTCATGACTTTATGCAATGCAACTAGGCAAGGACTCGAAAGGAGTAATTCATGAAATCCCTGGGCCTAACATTACCCACATTAGTGGAGTCAGCCTTTTTGATAATCATGGAGTAAACTTAATATCTGGCATTCTGACTGCCCTAATTCTTCCAAAGATTGCAATGTTGACCTGGGGTTGTCTTCGTTGACGTGCATTTAAGCTTTCATGAGCTTTACTTGAATGTGATTTAATTAAATTCAAAGAATACTCAACAAGTTTCTGACAAGTTCTTGACAATACTTATCAAATACGACAATAATACACATCATTTATTTTTATATTTGTTCGTTGTATAGCGTTTAGTCTTATAGATTATGAAGCATACATATTTACACCTACGTTTGATAGACTATGACAGATAAGAAGCCACGAGAAACCTTGTCTACACAAATCACAAACAAAACAGAAATGGCACCGGTAATATTTTTTTCAATTGAATAAATACAAGATATAAACAGAAATCGAAAGAATTTACAACATTCCTATTAATATTCTTTAGTCATTGCTTCATCACGATTCAGTGTTTAAATATCATTGTGTATAACGTATGTAAATATGTTATAGTATTGGTAATACATTATTTGCATTGGTAGCAAATTATTAAAGAGAATTTTCAATAACATTGTGACATTTCGTATGCCAATGCTTAATAATTGCTTTGAATTCGTTGCGGGATGGGGGGTGGAGGTGCGGCTGGTGTTTTTGGCTTTGCAATACCATTTCCATTCTCAGCATTGTTATTGTTGTATCCATTGTTTATGCGAGACTGAGCTCCATTATTGTAATTCCCATTCCCGTTACTGCTTGTAACATTGCGATTGTTGATATTGGACAAAGGAGGACGAGAACTGTTTCGATTAACTTGTTGTTCGGGTACCGTTGGCCAAGTTAACATTAATCGATTTGGACCGTCTTTGGCAAACGTTGGGACGGCTTGGTCACTTGTTTGCACGCGAATACTATTTGCTATAGCAGAGAAGAAACATGGTAAACGTTCGAAATACTTTCACCCACCTTAACCTGATTGCATACTTACATTTCTTGCCAAGCTTGCATTCCACATTTGATGTTACATTTACTGGAACTGATTTATTGTTCCTTCTAATAAAGCAAAATTGAATGAACAATTAATGTTTTTATCGACAATCGAGATATCGAGGTTCCTGTTTTTTTTACCTTAAGCATTGTGTTGCCACCATTGTGACGAATTCTCCAGTCAAATCAGGGGGTGGGCCTCCGTCGGGTGTGCCGACTACCCAAGAACTCACTCCTTGGATGGACCCACAATGGAGTGCGACCACCATGTCCCTTCCACTACTTAGATGAAGGATGGTTAGTTGATCTGGCCCGGGGGTTATCGTTATCGCAGTAACTTGATTAAGGGGTATTCCTGACTTCATGCCTTTGAACGAACCCTTCGGGCCGTCCAATTTGTAAATTGCAGTGTCCGTAATCATGATGGACCTCTCGGCGCATTTCCCACCAGAACCTAATTTTCAGAAATCAAGAAAAAACCTGTGTAACGCACATTGTCACAAGGTACAATTCCGAATGTAGGATCACTATGAAAATTGAACGCGCTTTACCTGGAGTAGCTTTCAGAATTCTGGAGCTGAATAAAACTTGTTGAAAATGATCTTTTTTCTGCAACTTTTGAAAACTTTGCTGATAATCTCGGGCCTGGTTAAGTCCTTCTAAAAGTAGATAATCTCCTTTCCAATCTCGTGAAAGTCCCCAGTTCGCCCGTCGTCGTTTAATTAGTTCGGTTGAACAATAAATCTTGAGGCGCAACTGCGGCTAAAATATTTAAATACACATACATGCAATTATATATTTTTTTGTAATTAAATAGAGGATAAATTGTGGTCAAAGTTGAAATACATGTAGATCAAAAATTAAATGTGTTTCTGCGTACCCAATCGTGTTCTGGAACTCTACGCAGGATTCCATATGCCCACCATCGACCGTATGCGGCAATTATGAGTCCAACCAACGACTTTAAAGGTCTGCAAATGGAAAAACAAGGTTATCAGAAAATAATGCAATGACAAATAATCCATGTATGTCTTATGCTATTGACTCAATTGTTTAAGAGAAAAATAATGTTTTACCCTGGTGCAGATGGCCAATTTGCATTCAGTCCAAATGCTGGGACTGGAATCCTTCCTTTGTTTATCCCCGTTTGCGATGACACAGGAAAACCAAGGCTTCGCTGCGTAGCAGTTACCCACGTTCTCAATTTATATTTCCGGTAGACGCCCATAATTCTGTACACGGCACGAAGTCGTTTGTAATATTCGCGAGCAAGATATCCCCTCCAGATCTTTTGCAGGAAGGTCACAATTCCTGGAAATTTTTAATAATATTTAATTGACTGACTGAATATAAAATAATAGTTTTTCAATTACGAGGCTATCTTAGCTTATTTGTAACTTATAGTGAACCCGATTATTTTGTAATGTTATATGGAGAGAAATTTGGAATATATATGTATGAAATGCATACATCTAGATTTTTTGCAGATTAAGTAACCTAACCTGTGAAATCATTCTAGGAAAAAAAGGGGGTAGGAAATGTGAAATCATTCTACCTATTTCTTGCAGTATGCGCATTGAAAATGTCGTATAATTGTCGTACCTGGGATCATGGCTTGGCGGTTATTTTCTAATTCGAAAAGCGTCTGTGGACTTCGAATAAAGACTTTTGTCTTTCCAAATGCAACATCGTTGATTAGACCTCGGTCCTGAAGAATGGCGTTGGTGGCCTCTTGCATATTCCTGGAAATAATAACTTCCACGATAACAAATCTGGTGCGTCCAAACTACCAAAACAAAGACGCGTCCACGCCACGCTTACTAAAGCATCATCTCATTTTCCTTACCTGGTTTTCGGATTTGGCCAGGTTCTTCGTGATAACATTTTGTACCTTTGAACAAATAATAAAGAATCAAATCAAATATTTAACAAACCCGGATAGTAGAAAATATTCAAATGTTTGACGCATAATTTAATTAAAAATTAGTCGCCAACTCCATTTCCAAACATCGCAAGATGCATAAAAAAATGAAATTCCAAAAATACGTTAAACCTATTCCTTTGGCAGGTAAGCTTCGTGTCTGCATAACTATGTCGGATCATTTCAAGAAATCTTAGAAGATGAGAAAGAGATGAATCAAGCATTATGTACAAGCAGAATATTTGGGAGCGTGCTCAAAAATTATTGCAACCGTGCTGGAAAACTTGAGAGCTAACATCTGAACTCGTGTTTAGTACACAATTTTTTTAAATCGTTAATTTGCATAAAATTGCATCGGCAAGCAACCGAAAATCAAGATACAACCATTTACCTTTGAACGAATCTTTCGTATGGTGTTCTGTGAGCGAATCCAGCTCGTCTTACACGAACATTTTCCATGAGAGCCTTTAATATAATTTAAAATAAAACTCAAAACGCTAAGATATACGATTGTATATTTATCATTGAATTTTGTTTAAAAATTTATACCAGGTAAGCCACTTGATGTTCAACTCTTTGTTTATCAAACAACGTCGGGGATTTCATATCGTTTGGCCTAAAATAAAGTCAACCGTTAAAACAGATTTATTCGACTCATCTTCAATCAAAATTCGGTTTCAGTTAAGCACATACTTCAAGGTGCGCACATAATAAGGTTCCTTTGATTCAAGAATTTTTACTAGGGCAATCATGCTGTTTTTGAAAACCGTTCCAGCCGTCACCGGTCTCTTTGTGGTTTTCGTAATGTCTTGTGCACCATCTGGAAACATTCCGGAAATTATCGGATTCTTTGAATTGAACATGAGTCTCTTCAAGTCTTGGAAAAGTGTATCTTTGTTCTTCTCCATAAAATTTTCAATCGAATAGGTAACATCTCCAGCATAATGCCTGCGCAAAATAATGTTTCAAAAAATATTAACAAGTCTTAAACATAGATAAAAGATTTAAAGGACTGAATTTTTCTTACTTTATTCTAAAGTCTTGAGCATGAACCAAAGTCTTATCTGATGGCAACAATTGTCGACTAGTGTAGTGAGGATGACCTTTCAAACTTTTATCCATGTGTTCTAACAGCGTCTTGTCGGTTACATTTCCGACAGATAAACAAGCCTCGTCCATAATGGCAATTATTCCTTTGTGAGGCAATTCGATGAGCTCACAAATTACTTGGTTGTTAAAATAGTCAATATGCGTCCACTGTATTCCTTCTTTACGGTACTCTTCTTGTTCTTGTTTGAGGACGAGTTCTATTGGAGAACACAGAAATGTCAAAATTATCATTAAATATGTAGTGCTACTGCAATGGGACAAGAGCAAAACCATATTTGATAGTAATGCATATTACGTAGAATCGTTAGTGCGACTTTATTTACTTTGTTACATTATAGGTATGTACATAAGATCAAGGCATTAAAATAGCATGTCATTTTTTACAAGCATGGCATTTGGAATAAGCTGAAGTATATGTATTGTGTATATGAACAAAATATCAAGAAGTTAGGAAGACCATCCCAGTTTGAGTTTTATCCAGCGCATCATTTTGGTGACTACTGATGAAACAGGTCCCCAGCTCGGAGGGTTCGGAAATGGTATTTCGTTCGCATGATACTCGGGATTCTCAAAAATTGCGAATGGATTATTTGTCGAAAGTTGGTAACGCCCTCCGCCAAGCTCGTCCGGTGGTGCTTGTATTTCTGGACCAGTGTCGTTCAGCTCTTCTGTCCCAGGAACCGTGGTGATGGGGATTGGTCGTCCATGTGCTAATTCTTGAGGACCTCGAAGTGCTTGAAGTCGGGTTCGAGAGTACGTAAAACGGAATCGGTGCATGTTTTACAATATATTTCAGTTTCGTTTCATAACCAGATCATTATTTCTTGTGATTATTTTGTAAACAGATTATCAAATTCCAGATGACAAAGTTCCGAAAATTTTAGTAAGCAGAAGCATAAAGTTAAATATGCTCGTATCTACGATACAAGGGTACACACAAACTTACCGATAAAAAGTTGTTGAAGTTTCTCATTACAATAGTTTATACAACATTGCTCGAAGGAATTGGTATCCAAGATTTCAAACCCGTAAATGTCCAAAACTCCGATCACAGTTCCCTTGTAGCCATTCATATCGCCAGGTTTAATAGCCTCGTTGATTCTTTGTACAAGCCAGTTAAACAGCTAGAGGTTGAACACACATATTTACTCATCATACCACAAATAAATAGTGTACAATTTTACAAAACTGGAAATAGCAGCTACTTACTCGCTCATACACGGCTTTTGCTAGTGCATCTTTCGCATACATGGCTTGGCCAGATGTCAAAGTTTTCTGTACCACGTTGCCTCCAGCCGCAATGGCTCTCTCGCACAACGCCTTAGTGATTTCGGAACTTTTAATTTGCAAGAGTTTAGCAACTGCTTCAACGGAACTTCGAGAACTGTGGGCAATCTGCAAATTAGTCACAAAGTCGATATATTTAGGGATAGAGAATAATAAATTTGAGGGATTTTAGTAATATGCAATACCTTTGCCCCCTCTCCATCCGCGGAAAGTGTTACGTTTCCCAAACTGTAAGACATTCATTTAGTAAGAAGATTCAAGCTTAAACTACTTAATTTGCATGAACTAAAATTATTGTCATGATTGATATTGCTCAAATGTTTTGCAAGTTGCTTCATGATGATAAATAAATATGTGTAAATTACTGTAAGATGCCAGCCACCAAGTCCCAAGCTGTGTAAAAACAAAAGAATTATTTGGTTATCATATTTATTTTGAATGATAAGATATTGAAGTCTGAAGAAGATTATAAATTACCAGTGTTGATTTCGGCATCATGCAGTCCAAGTAATTTAAGCGCAGAGTTGACAGTGTTGTAATCATTTTTGTCATTTATCCCATCTGCTTTTGACACACCCCCTTGATTGGTATAAAAATATGCCCCTGGAGATTTTTGCAAATCCCTTTGTCGCAGTTGACCATCATCAGAGATTAGCTGTCATCAAAATAATTTATAAAGTGAAAGTGTGTAGACAAACAATCAATATCAAAGCTGTCACTAATGAGCTACAATTCTTCTGTCATATTGTCGTGATCTCATTTTTCCCACTTTATACAGTGGGCTTTCTGTGGATGCATGCATTATTATTTTTTATATGAAGCCATGTATGGATGGCACTGCATCGTCATTCTATGGTCATGGTTTACTCTGGTCCTATTAGAGTTATTTAATGGTAATTTTGAAATTTCTGTATTCTCTAATAGAACTCGTCCCCCAACAAGAACAAGAAGAGAACGTGGTCTAATACTGACGAGTCACTTTCGATTTCCACTTCATTTCTAATATTATCAAATAATAAAAATATATGTGTCATACCAACAGGAAGGATGTCAATGTGTGCACATATACTTCATCACCAAATGACGATTCCTTGTCGACTTTTAAATAATCTGTGGTTTACTGAGTTCTACATATTACATTCTACAATGCAATATCTGGTCATGTAAAGTTTATGTCACAAATATTCGAGTTCTGAACTACTTATATGTGTTCTTTAATAAACATGCATTTGCAAACGTGTACCAATAAGCTAAATGACATCATAATGGCTGACACAAATAATACATTGTGAACAAATTCCGTCATGAACCACAATTTGAGATAGGGTTTAATTACATAGGGGTAAATAATGGAGCATTTTATGTGACCCATTCAGTCATCACAGTTTTTACCTCACGATTGCAGTTTAACGAAGCATTTAATTTTGAAGCGCTTTATCAGAATAATCTTTTATCTTGCTAATTGCCATGCTGAATGACTTGAAGGATTATGAAATACCAGAAATTATATCTGTTAACGACAAATAACCACTCTTGATTTTGCTCATTTCTACATATGTACGAGATGCAATTTGCAGGTTCTAACGAGTCATCGTGCTTGGTCGTTTAGAACTCCTTCCATTTTGCCTCAAAATAAGTACAAGAAGGATTTTTAACCTGATAGAAGGCATGAAAATTCCGTTCATTTTTCTGCTGTTGGACCACCCGAGATTTTTCAAGTAGATAATTTTCAATCTGTCCTCCAATGGGGTCACCCTTCCAGTCAAATTGAATATCCATGTACTTGCCGAATCTTGAACTATTGTTGTTTCGACACCTGAGAATAAGGTTCAATTGACGAGTTAATAAAATCATCTAAAAGTACAAAATGGCAGATGCAAGTATGCTATAATATAATTAGGCATTTACGTTGCTGCATTTCCGAACGCTTCCAATACGCAATTTGACTGAATTAAGACGTTCTTGACTCGTTCAACTTCTTGATGACCGTTTACGTTGGTCACTGCAGCAATATATCTCATGATTATTTTGGATGCTTCAGTCTTTCCTGCAATTGGCAAAGTTATTGATACTCAATATTTACTTGGCAATCAATCAAACTCCAAACCACTCTAAACAATATCATTCCTACCAGCCCCGGACTCTCCACTGATCATTATACAAGTATCTTTTCCTTGTGTTCGCATGGATCTGTAGGCACTGCAAGATTACGTGGGTTAATTACAGATTAATTTTTAAACACAAATATCTTGTCGATTTAAGTCTCAGGTCCTGAGTTGGATCAAGAAGATGTGGCTTGTTTTATAGATATTTTACCTATCTGCAATGGCAAAAATGTGAGGGGCGCGTTCAAACAACTCTCGCCCTGTAAGTTTCAACGTTACACATTACGTGTTTGTCAAGTCAATATTCATCGCGTCAAAATGATGTTAAACACGATTTTATAATCAACACTGAATTGTGCATACCCTTGTATTCATTGACTTTGTCTTGCCCATAGATTGGCATTTGCCTGTACGGGTTAACTGACACGCATACTTCTCCAATATACGTGTAGATTCTGCCTGCTTTGAACCTGAAATAGAAAAAGATGAGATGAGATAGCATAAGCGGGCGGATAAGTAAGTATTAAATACTTATGCTCACTGCTAGCAGATCGAATAGAACAGAATTTCAGAAGCCGTGTTTCACTTGGTCTATTTACACAATATTTCATGTCATTTGTGTTGCTCGAATGCATTGTTACGTGACGGTTTTAACAGAATTCCTTAAAGGGTGAGATTGAAAATGATGTGCAAGTAATGCTCGCCTAATCTGAAACTAACGCAAATGTCATCTCGTAAGGCAGCTTGAAGAAAACACTTGCATGCATACGTAAAAGGATTTGAAACATACAGGATATGAATTGAACATTTGTAGTATGTACACAAGTATGTATGTACCTACGTATAATGGGTATGAGCAGTTTGAGACCTTTCGTAAAGATAAAATAATCTCTAGAATTGCATGGTTTCAAAAATAGACTAATTTTGTACATACGCATCTACATCCATTTCAACAGTGCATGCATGCATTGCACAACTATTTCACGGTCCATTTATGGGAAAAAAAGTTGCCGGTTACAGAAAAAAAGATTTTAGGGCTGGAATTCCTCAGGAACAACAAATATTTCAGCATTCTTTATGACTCCAAAATCAGTGGAAATAAGACTAATGCATATATGCATGTGAAAGCACACATTTGTAGTACACAAAACCGATCATACGTGTATTTGTATCTCCTACTGCTGACTTCGGTTCTATTGATAAGAATGGGTATAACTTTACATAAACCATCCAGCCAGTTAACGAGCATAAAATTTTGGTTTATTTCAAGTTTGCAGGCTAAATGAAATGCAAGAGATTTTTTGCAGAAGCTACAACTACCATATTTTGAGCACAAAGAGACAAAACATGAGAATCCGCCCTCGTGCATGTAGGTTCACGAAAATAATATCAAGTCTGTGTGCTGCTGGTTTGACGCCCAGTGGCAAAGGAAGGACTTCCGTTAAGCGAATGAACTATTGATCTGATCCAGTTGCCGAACTTTGAATCGATTTCTTCCAGCTACTTAAATATCTGGCAGATATGTATGTACCACAAGAGCGAGGAGAGATTTATGATAATGAGCTCTCATTAACCGGACATCATTCCACCTCAACTCTGGATTTTGAATAGACACACAAAAGTCGTCTGAATTAAGTATTTATCTAACATGACATGCTTTGGGTCAACAATAACAATTCATATCAAATGGTACAATTTTCTGAAAGAGTATTTCAGTAGCTTCATTTTGATACATGACTGGTAATTGTTAATTATGTATGTATAAGCATAGAAAAAATTGGTTTGAAACCCAGTATCTGAAAAATTTTGCAATTCGATAAAAACATAAGAAACAAAGAGTTTTAAATGGTTTGGCAATTTTTTTTAGCGAAGGGATATGCAAAACCCATACTTCATTCCCACTTCTGTGCTACTTAACTACCATTTTGCTGATGGAGTCTATTATCAAATTCTCGTTGAGGTATCAATCATGGAAAATAATGCTTTTATCATTTGTTCGATATCTGAGTTCCTGGATTTATGACGACTGATAAAACCATTGTTTATTTCAACAGAGAGATATTATGAACAGGCAATTAAACTATGTGTATTTTGTTTCTTTCCATTATTTTATAAATGAGGGAGTCAAGGTCGTGGTAGAAAAGACCAAAAGAAGACAGTGTCATGCAACCTTTGTCGCTATATTCAGCGTTTGTACCTTGTTCAGAAAGGTGTGGCGTTGTTTGGATGATGCATCAAAATAGTTTGAATGGAATATTCTCGCCCAAAAAGTATACACCAAGAAAGACGCGAGAAGACAAAAAAGTGAGACATCAGGGACGACACGCTACTTGCAAGTGTGTCATATTATGCAGCATCTGTGTGAAGAATGACTCACTGGCGTTGGCATAACCAAAGTAAGGAAACATTTAGTTGCGTCACATCTTTTATCGAATCCTCTTCGTGAAGATTTGAATCTTACCATCTCGTGTGCTTTTGGCCAGAATTTGATTAAATAGAATCTTGTTGTCGCTGCTCTTATGTATTTTCCATAATCATGTCAGGAAATATCTGAATACTTCATGTTTGATGGAATTACAATTTTTAATAGAATATTTATTTGTATTGGGATGCATGTTAATAGGATTTACAGTGACTATGAGTTATTCCTGGGATGTTTATTGCTTTAAAATCATGAGAAATTCAGTCGATAGTGGATTTAATATTTGTCTGAATGATTTTTCATTCCGTACCACGCCTCATTTACCACGAGCCAAGTTAGACAAAACATTGCTACAAACAACCTTTAGAAATCCATTTCCTTCAAGATACGAACAGCACGGAAATACTCCCCCACGATGGTTTCAATCACGGGAGAAAACACCCACATTTGAGAGAATATATAAACCAAGCCTAATGAGCAATTTCACATTACTGCAACTGCATGCTGAGAGTACATTCAAAATTTACACTTTTCATTATGAATAAGATCTCGCAGAAGGAGCCATACAAAGAAATCTTGGGATATTATAACATTCATTTCCTTCCTTCCACACAAAAAGCATTGCAAATTATGTAAAAATGCAACCGCACTTCTTCTTTCAAAAGTCTCGACAATACATTGCACTTGCTGCAATCATAATACGAGCAATAAAACATGTTGGATGCAGACTGAAAGAAATTCCGACAGTAAAATACCTCGCTTTTTTTGTGTCTTATGCTAAGGTTATGTATGTCGAAACACTTATGCTTGCAGAATGAGCCTTACTGTTGACTGTATATTTATTTTCTTAATCAACAAATAATAGCACCCGGAAGGTGAAGGGAGTCAACAATAATGCTTCACAGGTTGCAGCAAGTTATACTAATGTAAATAAATATCATGAAACTATTTTTTAGTTTTTTTAAAAAATATTAGTAAGACATGTCGTAATACAAATTACCACATAACACAACTTTAGCATTTTTAGTGCTATGCTAAAACTTCACCCAAACTCCAGAATTTTGTGCTGCTGTGTAGAATGTTGTATCACAGAACAATATTAGCTGTTAGTGCAACAAGCAAACAATCAACAACGTGTAATGTTCTCCTCGGATCATGATTTCTATATCCTTTCACTCACTTGGTTATGAGATTAAAATAGTGATAGATAGAGGATGAGCTGAGGTTCAACGTATCATAGATGAATCTGCCTGAGGGTTGATTACATTTTTAAAGTGTGGTGTTATTGTCTTGTTGGATGTGGATATGTACAGTTTACAAGAATAAGCCATTGAAAATAAGCACTGCAGTTACAATAGCAGCAGTTATCAGTGTTTCACGCAAAGCCACTTGGACAGTACCACATTCTTCAGGGATTCTTATTCTTGGAATATTTTTGCAAAAATTGCACCTGACTCATAATAATAGCCTTACGTATCAAGCGAAAAGGTCGTGAATGCAAAACTATTCATGCTAATGCCCATAATATACGATATTTTTAATCTCTCAGAAACTGAATTTAGTACTCTACACTTTATTCTAAAAGTAATTCTGTAGGTTAGCCTTGATTTAACATTTGTCCATTGTTTGGATTTATCACGATCTCAATGTGCTGCAGAGTGCTGTTACATACATGAATATTTGATGCCATCACTTTTTAAAGTGCATGTCTCGCCATGTTAATTACATTATTATTTTTTCATTGTTCGATAAAATATTACAGCTTTGAGTTGGAACGCTTCGCTGGCTTAAAACTTTGCCATTATTTTAGTATTTAATACGTAGATTCATCCTTCTCATCATCTGCTCGACAATCAAGAAAATTTACAAAATAAATTGTAGCTATTTCGATGCCAATCTGTAGTAACAATATAGGATTGGTGCACATTATTACACCCGGATTAATTAACCAGGAAAATATTATTCTAATTCTTTTTAACTTTAACCTTTAAAATTATTTCGTGTCATGTAATATGTATTTTGGAACTGGAAGGAGAGTTGATAGCACATGTCACTGGTTTTGTAGTATTCCATTTTTGATACTTTTCCTGTTCCCCTATGCGTAAATATGCATGCAGAACTGTGAAGTATCTATCTTACACACATATTCTTACATATAACGTATAATTTCTATTTATGAAAATGAGTTAATCAATCGCATTGCTGAAATACTGTTCTTGCATTTAAGCTACATATTTGCTGTACTATGTAGTATCGTACCTTTTTTCCAAGTTATCAATGAAACTATCCTTGGTAATTCTGTCCAAAAGGACAAAATCTCCAACTCCGACATTATCATGAAGGGCCATAGTTAAACACAATGACTTTTCACTTTTCTGGCCAAATAGCGAGTTTTATCCACACAATTGTAATAAGTTTATGCTGCAAACTGTGGTTTATACTCAATTTGTTAAATTTCCATAGACTGAGGAAATTTTGGTTTACACGATGATTAGCTTACACATGTTAGTTGGTACACTCCTATCCTATTCACTAAACACAATTGGATTATAAATGTATGAATTTCATAAAATGTTGACTCTGTAAAGTTATAACCATTAACACCGGGATGTGTGCAGTGTGCACTGGGATGGGTTTATCCTCTCAGTATATTTGCTTTCCTGTGACTAAACACCCAATTTGCAAAATTGAGAATGTTATAAGAATGCAAATTGAGGATGACAATGAGCTCAAACTCGGAGATACATAGCACTTTTAGCAGTCGTTGGTTGGCCAGAGGTTCAACTTTTGCCTAATACTTTGTTATCACCACTGCAGAACTGATAACAAATACAGCCAGCATGGGATGGCAAATCGGGCTAGGCCAGGCTAACCACAGGTGAGGTATGTCAGCGTGTAATGAAAGTATGTATATATTGTATCGTCGGTTTATGAACCGTGATGAGTGTCCACTATGATAAAGTGAAGCTGCAAATGTTGTCGAGCCGGCCAAAATGCAAAAACTGTAGTCGAACAAGGCAACGGTCTGACTCAGAGTTGAAACACAACTAACAAACAGGGAACTATGAGCTCATTCTTGAAGCGACTTTTTTTCTTACTCAGCAGTCGAAGCAGCAGAAACTAACTATGCACGCTAAAACTCCAACGATCAAGAAGATCGACCAAGTGGGGTTAGTCAAAGTGAACTTGTATGGCATAAAAACGGCTAACTACATATCTGCGAGGATGCACAACTACATAACGTTGTTACATATTGCATCATAACTTATGCGGTATTGGGTTGTATAGCAGACCTTAGTGCATCTCAACACTTTCTGCATACATGCGTTTACAAAAGATCGAAGGATGCGTCCGTGTTTATGTTTATAAAGGGAGAAGGATTGCAAGAAATAGAAAGGAATCCGTTGAGGAGGTCTCAAGTCAGTCGGATTATAGAACGAAGCTCTACAGATAATTACAAGTAGCATATTAACGTCTTATGCATATATTACACCCCGTCTCATTTCATCCATGGTTCACGTTGTGGAAATTCATTCATTCAAACCGATGTACATATTTGCACATGACAACTTCCTATAGTTTATATCGAGTTACCAAATTATTCGCCTTCACATATTGGAATTGCATGTACGGAATATTTTGTCAGATCAGGTTTCAGTGCATGGCATGAATGGTGTATATTTGTTGTGCAAGTTCTTTACTCGTTGGTAGGTAGGGAAAGTTGAGAATGTATTTTGCACAGTGAAATACCCACGCTAAATAAATAAGCACCGCATATTCTTCCCCCACACCCATGAAAGGAAAACGCACATTTGTGTTTTTGCCTTGCATCTTCGCACATGGTCGAACATTTTGGTCTATTTGTGATTCGCGAGGGGAAACAACCCTAATCCTAAATTTCTAACCCAAGTTTGTTGGGGTGAGGTCGAGATGATGACTCATTCCAAGCAAAGTTTTCCAACTCTTACTACATATGTGCAAGGATAAATACTCAAAATGTATATATAGATACATACAAAAAGCTTGGTCGGACCTGAAACAATTAAACCAGGCGTAATATTTAATGTGTATATCGTAGCGTGGTAAACTGAACGCCAAAGCCTCCAAAGATGAGATGCCCTTGGCACAACCCACACCCCCACTTTGCCCATCCACTCCTAGATCATCACCACTTGGTTGTCAGAGATATGCTTGAAACTGTAGTCAAATTATGTCATCGCCATAATTTGCAATTTTGTTGCCTTCAGTTTTGCCCCAAAACTTTGTAGTATTATTGCATTTTTATTGCTGTATACATACGTGCTGTGCTTAATGGTGATGACAAATACAAAACAGGATTGCTGGGTTGTAAAATATGATATAAAGAGTACAGCTGAAAATTATTTGCTAAAAAGGTACACATTTTTAAAGTCGCAATCGATATATACAACCCGTTTTTGACATGAGGGTTTGTAATACCATGCAGCAAGTGTATACTTGTAGTGTATATACACTTGCTCTATGTGCGAAATGAATTTATTATCGTTTTATGCAAACCAAAATCAACATCAAATATAATAATTATCTGGACTTGATTCATGGAATGCTAATTTTCAACGTACATTTTTATTACTTTAACAAAAACTTATCAATGAGTGCAGACGGTATTAAATTGTTATGGTTTATGATATACGGAAAGTTTGCAATCAATTTATTCAAATAACAAAAGGACGTTATCAGAAATACGTTAACAATATGCGATTTGTCCTTCTCATTGCTTTTTATCAGATCATATTGAAATCCATATGCTGATACCACAAATTGCAATGGTTAATATGGTAAGTATCTGGGAAATACATACATAATTTACTCTTTAATGTAATTTAATAAGCTGCACAGTCAAGAAAATAAGAAATTACAGAATCACTTTCACCAATAACATAGATGCTACATGAATTGAAATTTGACACAAAAATGTAATTTTGTTAGCAGAATATTTATGTGAAATTTAATATTTCTAAACTGACAACAGGTATTTATACTTCATATCCACACGGTTTGGGTAAATTTATTACAGTACATCCTGCGTGATCTCATTTATTATCTATCTATTACCTGGTCAATTTACCAGATGCTCACCTTCCCCATAAAAATATATATGCTGTCATTTTACGAGTAACCGTTGAATCTAGTGAATCATTTACGTCAGCTGCATTCGAGCCATCTACAATTCACTCAGAAATTCGCAGTGCAAATTTATGCCGTTGACTTGTTTTTTAGCAACACTTTTAGCACATCCATTCATTTCTTGTGTTTAGATGGACAGACAGTTGAGACTGAGACAGTGGTGCTTTTTGTTTACCATTCCATTGAAGAGGAGGAAAAGTATTTTGTGACTCAACGGACCAACTACGCCAGGCAGCTTATTGTGCATTACTCAGCTGTCCCGATAATTAATATTCCATGCGAAATGTGCCTGGGATTTGCCAAATACTCCAGTGAAAGCAATTGACCATCAGTTAGTTAGTTAGTTTAGTCGATGGTTTCGGCTGAAACCTAAAGTGTCATCTTTTAGTTAATTGATAAATATTTAATAAATATCCAGAAGTCGTCGTGATAAATAAATAAAATAAATAATACAATAGGTCGTTGCACGAGAATTCCAATAAATTGAATGTGTCTGCTACACAACTATTAGTAGATAATGAAAGAAAGGTACGAGTTTATTTCGGAGTTTATGATTAGAAAGTAAGTACATATTTTACATCTTAAACTGTGTCATCCCGTGCATACAATATAGCGTTATTCCTGCACTTTACTTAAATCCGGTATAGTTTTGATGACTTTATCTCGCACTTATATGTATCCTGCTCCCACGATCACAAAATTGTGAATCACAATCATCGGCATTTTATCATCCATCTGTAAATTAATTTCCCATAATAACCAAGCACAGCTCAACAGTTAGTTAAAAGAATCATTTTCTCTTCCATTATTTGGAACCTTGGACCTGAATTACGAATTCATGTTGAACATACTACGGCGAAACAATAGCCACTTTTCGGACTAGAAGTATGCATGCATGATTTTTAATACGTCTAGCTGGCTAATGTAATTAAATACTATTTTATAGCTGCATTGTGTCGCAATAGACAGACATACTTATTTGTATATCGATTTGTGTGTATTATACTTGCTACTAGTATAATTTGTGTCGGTATCTGCGCCTGAATATTAAACTTGTGAGTTGGCATAAGAATACATTCATAAGAAATGAACAGCTGCAACCACAAAAGGTTTTATTCGAAAGACAAAAATTAACGGAAGTACGCAACTTATCTTGGTTTGCAAGGGTTGAAGATCAGTGCAGTAAGTTGCTTAGCCCAGTTCGACAGCAGTAGTTTTGTTAGCTGAGGAGACATTTTAGTGGCAATAAGAAAAGGAGGTTGTAGTGGTTGTGCAGCTTCTCATGAAAATATATTTGTAATGGCCAGGAGAGTCTTCCACGACTAGCATTTTAAAAATAAGGATTGAAAGAATATGAATGAGAGAAACGTCTCATACTGCACATTCACTGTCTGTGAATCAAAGCTAACGAGTCCTTGGGGTTAGCAAAGCTGAACCCTTCTGGTCCTTTAAGGACTTCTCAAACTTCATCTGCTAGCCATGCAATCCAGCCCAACATATCCGCTGGAGAAGTTGTATTATAGATCACGGCATCTTTCTAGTTATATATATTCAGTTGAGAAGGTGTAGTCCGTCCGACTGGAGGAAGTGTGCGACATCGCTTTGAGTAGTTATTCCAGTAATCCAGTTTAAATGGTGAACCCCACAACCAAAGTCATACTCCTTGATTTTTGCAGTACTTAATTCCTGCTCGTATATTTGGTTTTTATCGTCTTAATATTTTAAGAGATATGCAGAGGATCATCGCAAATTTGCATGGGTAATTTCGACACGTTAATTTTTTTTACCAAAACAAGCATATGTGCTAGTATCTGGATTATGTTATTATTACTCCATGCTCCTGGCTTTGGGTTGTACTAATTTATCATGCTAGTTCTTATATTTACAGTAATAGCGAGTAGTCTGTTTACGTTAAACAGAGTGAATTATACTCATGTTCCTCATTTCATAATTTTCGAGGACGAACTGGAGCATTTACATATTGATGTTGATCTGCGCTGTAAAAAAAAGTGTTATGTGCATTCTCCAAAATTCCAAGTCCAACATCAGTCAAGAGTCAACCTCATTCATGATACATACGTGTTAACAAGTAATCTAGCGTCTAAAAACTTAATACTTGTGGGGTGGCTACTACCATCCAAAACAAAAGAAAGGACAGTTTTTAGATAGTTTGTTTCAATGCCAGCACTGAAATATCATATAATAAAGCATACGTATAATAAGTAGCCATAACTTTTGCTTGTAGAAGATGGCATTCAGTGAATGTCCTCAACAAAAGCTGAGATTACACAATCTGTATTGTATGTATATATACTTCAAATAATGTTATCTTTGTTTGTGGGCACCATATGTTAATTGTTTGCGAAAAGAGGATAGTTGATAATTGAACACACATAACTTACGTAGTCATCGCGTGGTTGACCTTACAAACAAGGTGGTGGGATTTAAACTTATACTTTCAATTTTTATAATGACACGAATTTTTTTAATTGCAGATAAAATGAGGATTAGCAATTGCACAGTTTGGACGATAGTATAACTGAAGTGAAAGTTTGAGAGGGAGAGAGAGATGTCAGACGACGAGGGGTCAGAATGGCTAATCCATATACTTAAAGATGTTCAACTAGAACAGTTTTATGTCAGGATTAGAGATGAGCTTCAGGTAAAATATTGTTATCATCACATACTATATCTAGTTATATACATGTATGCAAATTTTTTGTAAAATATATTTACTTAAATTAAAATTGATTCAACGCAGGTGTCAAGAATTTCCCATTTCGACTATGTTACCCTTGATGACCTGGATAAAATTGGAATGGGAAAACCAGGAGCTCGTCGGCTTATGGAAGCAATTAAGAAACGCAAAAATAAAATCCGCAATAAAAACTTGGTCCAGAAAATTGTTCCACAGGCTATTAGTCAACAGAAATCCAAGACTTCGCTAAATGCGAATAAAAAGAAACGGTCGTCTATAGATAACTCTGGAACTACTACTCTAACATGTCTTATTCAAGAAAAGGTATGTACGTGAGTGGATGGATGATTCTTTAATATATTTTGGGGGTTTGGTCTGATCATAGTTTTTTTAACCTTTCAAACAACTTATTTCTTTTAGGATTTAGAACTTGGTCGAAAGTTGGGAGATGGTTCGTTCGGTGTAGTTTTGATGGGGGTAAGCCAAACATGTTTAATATTTAATATGGTGAATTTCTGTCTTATGTATTAAATACTTGCCAGTCGTGGAAAACGCCAATAGGGTCTGTGCTACCAGTTGCTGTGAAAGTTTTGAAGCAGGATGCACTTGCATTGCCAGGAATTTTGCAAGGTAGGGCTTTGCTTTAAAATGCTTACTGAAACACACCAATACATATTTATATATTTATTACATGTATTTATTGTCATTTTAGATTTTGTTAAAGAGGTGCAATCAATGCACCATTTGAGACATCCAAATCTTATCAGGTCCTTTTCAGACTAATTACAGAAATCCTACATGTGCTATATTTTATTGACTGATTTCACTGATTCATCATTTCCAGGTTACACGGTGTAGTTTTGAGTTCACCTTTGATGATGGTCACGGAATTGGCCGAAAGTGGTTCCCTGTAAGTGTTGTTCTATTAATAGTCGATATGTCTCTCTGACCAACTCAAGTATGATTTCTGAATTTCAGTCTCGATTGCCTCAGAAAACAGTGTAGCCATACTTCTTTATTAGGTATGAAATAAAATATTCTTCGGGTTGTAGTGTCAAATGAGCTGTAGACTGTTATTGGTGCTATATTCACTATTTGCAGATTTATTTCGATGGGCCCTTCAAATTTCTTCTGGGATGCAATACTTGGAATTGCAGAGATGTGTGCACAGGTATATTATTTATTTTAAATAATTACGATAGGTTCGCTTATTTCTCGCATATAATAATTGTTTTTATTTAGGGATCTCGCTTGTCGGAACGTTTTTATTTCGTCCAAAAGTGAGATTAAGATAGGCGATTTCGGCCTAATGCGTGCCCTGCCACAGGAACACGACTGTTATGTGATGACAGAAAGACAAAAAGTTCCATTCCCTTGGTGTGCGCCTGAAAGTTTGAAAGCTAGACAGTTCTCTCATGCATCTGGTACTAATTCAAAATAAATAGGTAGTCACCAACTAATAGTAATTGTAGAACTAAATTATTTAATATGCAGATACTTGGATGTTTGGAGTGACGCTTTGGTAAAATAATATTATTTTTAAAATATGATTTAATAAATCTGTAAAGATTACTTATTATTTATTAAATTTATAATTTATTGAAAAGGGAGATGTGGACATTTGGCGAAGAACCTTGGATTGATTTGAATGGGGCCCAAATATTACAAAAGATTGACAAAGAGGGTGAACGCCTTCATAGACCAGACGCCTGTTCTAGTTCTCTTTACGATTGCATGTTACAGGTCAGTCCAAGTCATACCCTTTGTTCGTCAATTTATGTTAAGGGTTATTTTTAATCCACCAGACTTTTAATTGAAATCACATAACTAAATATATTGAAATCGCATAACTTGAATTTCCAGTGCTTTAATTCAATTTAAAAACTGTAAAATTGAAATCTGCCAGACTTTTCTGAATCATACATTTTATTCAATTTGGAGGATTTGCCTTTAGAAATCTTAGAAAAACATGAGCTATTTCTTTGAATTTTTGTATAAACAAATTCTGTCAACAAGTAGGCGGCCTACCGGCCTTAGCAGGGCAGACCCTGAAGGCTCAATATCCCAACAGGAACGGTCACGGCTTCCTCTCTCTCTGACGTTGAAACCATTCCAAATTATTGCAATTCCTAGACCGTAGGAAACAACGGTCCCCAGCACCCCTTCTCACTTTTAAAGGAACTAGTTTCCGGTTAATACTCCAGTTAACCTACATAGTTTGTTTAAAGTTGGAACGAGGTCATATGTCGGTGTAGAGCATTATTTTGGAATCTAACGAGAATCTCATATGCTTGAGGCTTACCATTATGTAGCTCACCAGTGGACTCGTTTTCTAAAAGTATTTTCATTTTTCATTGATTGATTCAACTACATATGTACATTATTTGTACTTGGGAATCCTGGAGCTTAGGCCCCATACTTTTGGTTAACAAATTTTGTTTCGAACATTCTTAGAAATCCAATATCCAAATAAAATCAAGTATTCATTACCAGGCTATCATAAATGTATGATTCTACCAAAGTGGTATTGATAAGTAATACGGTGTAACACATAACAGTTCGTTATTAAAGTTTTACCATGTCGGTAGGAAATTATCACAGACCGGTATGATTTTAATACCAAGCGGTAGCAACTTTATAATACCGAGAAATCAATACCAGCACAAGTATACCAGATTTCTGACAGTGAAGTGGTTGCAAAATTCCTTGGTGTCTCCGATTTCTACTACTGTGCACTCCTAGATTATGATTGTATGGTTTACCACTGATTAGAAGAGCAAGGGATACCTGAACAGTAACTATTTTGGTAGATTTTTACATATAAATGAATTCATAAGTTATGAAATTCCGTGTCTGATGGATTCAGTTATAGAGGTTGTTTTAAGGCATATAAAGTACTGGAAATTCAAGTTATGGAATTTCAATATATTTAGTTATGTGATTTCAATTAAAAGTCTGGCCTATTAAATGAGACCCTTTATGTTAATTAACATGAATATTATTTAATGTTGTACATTTTTCAGTGTTGGGAACATGATCCAAATGAAAGACCTAGTTTTGTAGCACTTAGAGCCTACTTAGCAGAAACTTACCCATCAGTAAGCAACAATTTTTATTTCACAACCATATCGATTACCCAGCGTAATACCAAAAACGGGGATGTTGCAGGAAATGCAAGTTTCTCAAGCATTCCACGAAGAAGGGGATCGAGAGAAATTACAACTCGAAGATGGAGATAAGGTTATTATCATAGATGGAAAGCCAGATCATTATTACTGGAAAGGCCAGTGTTTAAGGACATTCCAAGTTGGCCTGTTTCCTAGATGCGTCGTAACACCACTGCGAAGAAGACAGCCGGACGATATTAGGTTTGTTATGATAATTTCGTTACAATATGAACATTGATTTTGAATGTACCTCTCGTTAGTGCTCCATTACGAAACTCATTCATTCATACTGGACATGGAAGTGTGAGTGAAAAAAGCTGGGGTAATGAAATCCACTCAAGAAATTGAATGCAAAATAGTAATATATGACTGATATTTTCGTATTCGAATTATTAAAAGGAAGTCCCAGTTTCATTGACGAAGTATACTTAAAAAATCCTATGGAACCTCCTGATCTAACTGGAATTGTGGAAGAAAGTGATGAAACACAGAGTGCACCAAAGTTACCAAGCAGAACTAGAAGTACGAACTTACGTTTAAAGTTTTTTAGTTCGACTTGACTAATCCTTATTTATTGATTAATCGTTTGTATTTTAGGGATTCAACAAACTGTCACAAACAGTATCCCCCCGTTGAGAAGCATGCACAAAAATCAGCAATACGGGTTAGCATCTAATTGACCAGGATATTGTGTCGGACTGTTAATAATTAACTATTACTATTATTACAGCTATTCCAAATTCCAAAATGAATCTGGTACTGAAGTAGATTGGTCACAAGTTCCTAAGCAAAACGTTGCTATTCCAAATCATCAAACTCACACGCATCATTCAGTAGAAGGAATTCTAATTGATCTCAATGAGGGAAATTCTCAACCACCAAACATTCTTTATTCCAATGTGGACATATCATTAATTGGTGACTCTTCCTTTGAATCATCATCACCAAAGGGTTAGTTAATTCATAATAGAATTAATTAATATATTTTATTTAGTTCGTTATTGTGTTCGGCTAACTATATGTATTTGCGCCGTGCAGATCGTAGACCAGTGCGACCACCACCACCATTTTCATCGAACAGTGCTGCTGCAAATAACTCTTTCGGAGGACGACAAGCACCCATGAGTCACAGAACGTCAACCGACTTGCTACCCGAAAATTACAGATCAGGATCAATCGAAAACACCTTTCACCCAAAAGTTCCTAATCTATATGCAAACAATTCCGAAGGTCAAAACACATCGTCTACTAGGGACGTGTATAAAGCTGCAGCAAGTTTGTACTCTGTGAATACTGTGGATTCTGCTGAATGGTCTCAATATTCTGAAAACGATTATCCCTCACCAGATCCTTTTGACACTGAAAGAATTTTTGTTAGCCCTCCGATTGAAAATGGTACAAGATATTATTCATTCGTTCCCCACTCACCTGAAGGATGCAACACTGACGAATCTCAATCAGCATCTCAAAACCAAAATGGTGCAATCCCAGATTGCGAGTATGGGAACTCTCCATCCTTCAACATGTCAGCTGCTGGACATAATGGTTCTTCTACTACAAATGGCAGCTTTGTAACGAATCATTGCAATGAGTCGCCGACTAACAAAATTGTCGTGAAGCCTCCATTAGAACTTTTAAAGAAAAGAGACGAAGCTTTCTCATGGCTGGATGATGCTCTTGGAGGACTAAGTATAGGATCGACGAGTAAATCTTCGCCTTCACGTTCTAACACCTCTTCGAGTTCCAGAGCTTTGAGTGAAATTGAAACGCATTCCATGATTTACTCGTCTTCTGCAACAAGCATCTCCAATTCATCTACATTGAATAGTGGAGATGAGACTTGGGCAGGATTATCTCACTCGAAAATATTTTCTGGGTCGTCTACAGCGAACTCATCAAATATTCAACTCCCATATGTTCTACCCCCACCTCCCACGATAACCCGGAATAATTTATCTCCTGGAATCGGTAGTACTACGTCGAAACAACAAGGATTAGTACTCCCAGCTTATAGACCACCACCATCTCCTCAGAACAGTCTGAATTATTCTTCATCCTCATCATCGTATGCTATCCAGGGGAATAATTACAACGGAATTATGCAAGCTGCAGATATTCTATCTACAAATGTACCTGCAGCTTCTCGGTACGACATTATGACCGCTTTAAAGCAATGTAATGGGAGTATTGCGGCAGCAGAAAGACTATTGAAAGTGGGAGAATTGTTCAAGTAAGTTATATACCTTGTTACGATATACATAAATGTGATGTACATGCATACAATGAAATAATTACTTAATTTTTCGTTTTAATAGATTAGGAATTGCTGACAAATCAAAATGTGAAGTTGCTTTAACGAGAACACAGTGGAACTTAGAAACTGCAGCAACTGTTCTTTTGGATAGTTGAGACTGATGTTATATTACAGTAATAATACTAATAAGTGTACCTTAGACTGATATGGTCGCTACCTTAATTTACTTACAATTAGTTAGATGTTTACTCAATACTTTAAATGGAACGTATAAAACCTCACAATTAGCATAATTTAAATCTTGAGATATATATGTATGTTGATATATTAATGTGATTTTCTATATCATTTCTGATATTTGGTTAGTATGACCTTTAATTTTTTTAAGCTAATGGATTCGGAAAACTTGATTAGGTCAGGCGTGAGTGAAGCCCATAGCATAAATATAATCAGTTAAATATTGCTGAAGTAAATGTTGGGCATGAGATCCGAAAATAGATAATATTGAAACTGTTAAAATCATCCTTGTAGAATCTCGTTAAATAAATTGAAACTATCTGCATATTCTAATATTCTCTCAATCTTTATCATTTAAAGTGCCAAGAATTGCTAATTAGCTAATATTAAGCACTTGGAGTATCTTCCTCTGACCCTGGAACAAACATCTGCATTGAAATAAAAATTCTAAATAATTGCTGCTAATCAAAAATTGCATTGTATGGTTCTACTGGTAAAAAAATAAGGCATCCTTTTTGCAATTGTCATGATTTGCCATAATTTTTCTACTCGAATGTAAATCAAGTATTTATTTTACATGACGTATATTTTCTAATTGTGTCATATACATATTTTACTGAATCCATTATTTCAAGATACTATTTTACATTTGATAATGGACAACCTGAAATAAATGCATACTACTTTTACAATGCCCAGAGTCTATAAAAGTACATATGCGTATTAAGTAATAAACATAATAAATAGATGCACCTGAGTAGTAAATCTATCGTAGACAACCATGGGTAATTTTTGTATGCACCATTGCGCACACATGCTCTATCAATAAGAAAGGTTCCCATTGTTCGCTCAGAACACTACTTAATTGTAGTGTCAAAATGAAGTGATGTGACTGCCTGCATTATACTCAAGGCTATTTTGGAAATAACTTGACTTTCGTCTCACACGATGAACCATCAGCGTAATAAAAATCGCTGTGTAATTAATTTACTCGAAAAATATTTCTTTTGTTTTCTCCAGCAAAGGGCGTTTAATATTTAAATACTTACCGGTGCTTTGTATTACTACTGAATTGTTGCAATTTTATTTCTGATATGTTACGCCACGATTCCAATGATTTAAACTCGTCGTCAGTCGGCGCTGATGAGATTGAGTTATACATTTAGCGATTTAACACATAACACCCAAAAGTGGTTGGTTCATTTGTACCGTCTTTGTTGTCAGTGTGTTCTCATACTCGGAGAGTTTTGTAAAAGTACGCCATCACAGAGATAGCTAGCGTTGAATACTGGAAAGAGCAAATTCAACGGAGGAACGCCGAACGGTTAATGTATGTACACACGTAGATAAATATGCTAATATTTTTACAAACGTGATCATCATCAAGTCAAGCGGAACAAAATCTCTATTAATCAAGTGAGTCGCAAACAAGAGCATTTAAAAAATAGATCAGTTCAGCTCTACGTGTGAAATGACTTATTTAACAACAGTGTTAAATAATATGTTTTTGTTGAAGGTGAGCAAGCCTGTGTTGCATGGATGGGTCCATTATTAAGTAAATGAGCTACGAAATGCAACCAATGAAATTGTATAATAATACATAATACGCGTTTGTGCTAGTACAAAATATGTAGAAGTACATACATATACAGATAGGAGAATGTCTCTATTCCTTCCTACTCTGTACATAAGAAAAGGAACCACGGATATCAGGATTTCACGATTTTACGATTCATTGAATCCTTCAGATAATAAGATAATACATATATCTCTGAGGGTCAGTTTACAAACAATCTTGTTGGACAGATGTACATACATACACATTGTAATTACAATAATACGAGTATTTGTGAACATAAATGTATTGCCTTGACACAATAGCAGTGGTGTAGCTGAAACTGGACGTTTCCAGACCAAATAAGAGATTCAGGACTTTTTCCGTATATTCAGACAACAAAGCAAACAATAACTGGCAGTTAGTGAAGTTATCTAGGCCGTGTATCCCAACAATGTTCACCTCGTCTGCGATTTCTATATTTGTGAATGAATGATAACATCAATCAAGTGCGAATACTACTGAATAATTTTTGCAGTCATGGAATGGAGCAGTGATGACTGATGACAGCGAGAATTTTATAATAAAAGTCTCAGTTTCCCTAAAACTCATCCGTATACGCAAAACAAGTGAGTCCGTGAATTTCAGGCTATAAGTGAGTGTGCAGTGTCCAAAATTAAGGAAAATTTATCATCGCTACAACTATTGAATATGACTGTATTATTTTACTATATTGTAAAATATCAATCATAACGGTGATTTACTACTTATACTCGCCTGAACAATACTGCCAATACTTGCAAATTCTGTCCACAATGTATAAAATAATGCAATGCTAAATAATTGGGTTCCTACACACGAGTAAAAAAATTCAATGGGTTAGAAAGTTTGGGTAAGGAAGAAACTTCTGTTTTCGTTTATAAATTCTTTTGTTTTTTGTACAGACAGGAAGAAATATGAATCAGGACAAAGTTTATAGGGTCAGAGAAATTTAAAATGTAAAATCCGACACATAGAGAAAGATGATTCATGAATAAAGAATAGAAATGCAATAAAAGTGATTAAAAATATGGTTAGAAAGTACGAATTACGATCACATTGTGTTATAAAGACGAATGTTTAGGCTGGACATTTATATACTCGACTCGGTCGTCAACCGATGCCATCAATTGTTTGTGGTTTATAAGTGCTTGAATTCAATAGGGGCTGAATGCTTTAGTCAGTCGGCGTTTTTAGCGAGATCTTAGAACCACCGATTTCAAAGGAAATTTAGCTTCAAGTAATATTCAGGTCATATTTTGGTGAATTGTTCAAGTTTAATTACTCGTTCCACATACTTTTAACTGGTAAGTACCATTTAATAATTGGCATAATTGTATTGAGAATTATAGCGTCAACTCAGCATAATTAATAGGATTACATAAATTGTGAAGCATTGCATGCATATGTACATATACGTAGCTTATAGTTATATCTCTGTAGCATTCTCTAGTCTTCGTGGAAGTTGTAAACTCTGGTCATTTTTATGAAATGTCTCCCAACAGAAAATCAGTCTCGGGAAAGAAGAATTAATGAGGCAGCAGCAACATGGCGAAGGGAAATCTAAATGGTAAGCACAAGTTTTGCTGAATAGTCATGACATTACATATTCAATGATGTCATTCTTCATTTTGACGAAAGTTATCTTGGATGCATATACATCCGATCGTTGCAAGTGTATGCATTTTTTATATCAAATTATTTTACTGCAGAGTTTTGGAGACGTAAGCAAATGTCTGGGAAACAGACTTCGAGGTCATCGTCGTCACCACCACCTTCTCAATGCTTTGATAATTTGGGAATGGAACTGGAGGAAAATGCCTTCACTTCCGGTTCCAGTCATCAGGCCACTACTGATAACACTAAAAGTAAGCCATCATTGTCTTTCCAGTTGCGAATTTGTAAGGTGGTTTCTTGTTAAAGAGAGTCCAAATTAAGTTTTCGCATATGTTCTCTCTAAGTTCACTGGAAATTTTCATTTTTTATGCTAAAGCGGAAATCACAAATGTGTGCATCACCAGCATAGAGCTATACAATCATAAATCTGACAAGTGAGTGATCGGCAGTTATCATATATCGATAAATGAATTCGAAGAAATTACCAACGACGCACAGTAACAAATACTTATGGATTGGCTCCATGAAAAATGAGACATTGCCAATATAGATTTTTTCTTTCTAGAGAAATGAATGAAACTGGACACTTGTATTGAATCTTGCGTCACCAACTGTGTAAATACAACGACACGTGTTAATTATTTTCTCATTAAATTAAGCTCAAAGGAGCTTTGTTTCACGAATTTGCGAGTAAAGTGTCAAATTCCATATAAGTAAAACTGCGTATGTAACGAGGGAGAGTATACACGGGATGTAAGTATGTGAATAAGTACTTGTACGAATTCTGAACCGATTGAAATATATATCTCATCCTGTTTAGACGTAATCACCAATATTTAAGTGCACCTAAAATTATTAGGGTATTGGATAAATAAGGTTGAATACCGTGCACAAATAGATTTTAAAGTTCCATTAACTAATGCTGTACCACAATCTTAGGTAATGGCAAGAACTACCTATTCAAAGTTTTCTAGCAGCATACATACATATGTACACATGTCGGACTTCACAACTGAACTAAGGAAATACGTGCATATTAAGTACACATACGAATTGGATATATCGTTTGCTAAAGAAAATAACAATACTTTGAACTAATTGTTTATATATCTAAATATGTAAACTTCTGCATGTTACTGTTTTTCGATTTTGGAACCTACCCAGAAATATATGCAGGTAGTCGCCTTTATGTGCAAAATAATCATGATTTGACAAATATATGTCATCGTGGTGGCCACGCAGTAAGCAATGCTTGTGTGGAGCACGCGGCAGAGTCGACATTATTATTACGCTTGGAGAATAGCGTGGGTTTTAGCCCCGTGCAAATTCTACCGGGCAAGAATAAACTGCGACGGGTCGAGGATGGTTTTATGGGGTTATGCTGGGAAACTCGGTTCTTAGACTAGAAAGAAGTATAGGAACCAGTAAGTATGATCCGGGATGCTTTCTGCGTAGGCATGTGACGAGAAATAGGAGGAGAAAAGCAGCAGTCGCTATACTATCGTAACCCCCACCGACCGACCATACTTGCAAAAATCCCGTTTGCAATTCCTAGGAGTCGGAAAGTTGGCTGACTAAGCCAGAGGTCTGAATATTGGTTTCCTTCGTCAATAGACTGTCTGCGTTAGGCGAACGAAGAGCGTATTACACTCTCTCGCACTTATTTTACACATTCTGTACTCGCTTACTCACCCGACACATTTCACCAACTGGTACAATCAAATTCTGAGAATTGTTGCTACAACACTATACAATTTGTAAGGGCGTTAACTCAATTTCGTCTTTTAAACACTCGGGCACTGATTTTAACCAATTTTACCAATTTTTCACTGGTTAAATAACAGAAAAAGTGAGTGAAAGCATACTTTCACCTCTACTTAGTTTTGGGAATTAAGTTTTACTCTTAAACGGCTGCATGTGTCTATCCACGTTTATTGAATTTCCTGATTATAATCCTGGGAGAATCAAGCATCTTCAAGTGAATAATAGTATTAAAACGGATCAAATTCAGCGTTCAACATTGCTCAACAACAATGGCTTCAGATACACAAATAAAAGTTGCTACGAGTAAAAACTGTAACAGACTGAGTGGTGTGGCAATCAGTGGCAACACAGGCGTGGAAGAAGACACTTCCTTCGTGTTTGACCCAGCACTTGCGGATAACATTTCCAAGGACATTTTTGACTGTGACGGTTACCTCCAAGTGAACAGCCAATTGCCATCCGGCTTCGTTTTCGACAACGGAGAGTTCAAACAAGCACGATGGTTCCTGCATAATCCGGGCGGCTGACTAGGTCACACTCCTCCCCTCCTCCCACCTGAACCATCCGCATCATCAGTCAGCAGGGGTCACTTCACCTCGGCAGAAAAAGTTATCCATTGCCATCTCGGCGGTCCGACGACGTTCGGACCCCATTTTTGGAGACCCATCCGTTCTAGATAGCATTTTTACCTTTCCGGTAGACAATCTTAACCAATTTTAGAGAAACAGACTCATAAATCACGGTATAAAGTGGTGTTAAACAATACCGAACGTAATCCTATGCAGACATGAAAATTTGCTGTTCCATATAATAAATTTTGGTGTAGAGTTACGTTCATTGTTACGTGCAAGATAAGTGCGGCTGTTAACTGTGCTGGGTGCTAGTTGCGAGCTGAACTATCAACAGTATTGAAATTATTGTGGTGTTGAATGCGAATCTGTAATTCAATCCCGAACTCACTCGCTTCATTCCTTTAACTCTTGCCGTTCTTGCTACCAATTCCAAACCGTACATGCCCGTCTACACATCTCCTCCTCACCACCACCATCACCCACCACTAACTAACCAACCAACTCCTTAAGTACATTACTCAGTCAACTTAATTTATTATAGACGTGGCGTTTTAAGAAAACTCGTAAGAGTGGTGACAAACTTTAGGACAAGTACAAACTGCATGTTAAAAATTAAAAATTGAGTTCAATATTGTTTCTGGCAATGGCTCGCACGACTCAAAGATCGACGGCAAATAGCTTGCAGGAGAAGCTAAGAGCTTGGTGTTATTCGTTCTACTTTTTCCTGTTCCGGAGGACGATTGGTGGTGGGAAAGGCCGATATGCCGACCAAGAGGTTGAACTAATTCGAGGTTTGTAAGCTTCTAAAATTACTGTTGTATGAAAAGGGGTAGTTTTGATAATTCCGGGTCGCACTAAATCATCGGGGACATGGCAATTTGCAATGACATGCAAAATTATTTTCTGCGCGTTCGTTTGCTTTCCCTTCAGAGAGAGAAGACAAACGTCTGATTTTGACAGAACGTGTAATGACATTTTGTATTTTTAGCACACAGCGTAATTGATAGTTCATTATGGAGTCAATTGTCTTTCAACTTTCCCCAATAAGTTGTCGCGAGTAAACAATTTCCAGTTCGAACTGAATTAATCTGGATGAAACGCTATCGTGAGAATGGCGAAAGAAAATGTTATTGATGTCATGAAGATTGCTCGTTTACTTATCTGATGAATCCCAGTTAATTACTTACTCGAAGGAAAGTAAAGGCATTTGATTCGCAAAAGCTACATTGATCCATGACATGCAGCTTGCGTGAATTCATAACCCGAATGCATTCAGTCTCAATTGTGATGTTCATGCTGCTGGTATTCTTTTTGAAAACAAAATTAGATTTGATAAGATATTGCTTTTTCATAAATTTATATGTATTTGTAGCGTCAAGTTTATTTCCATATGTTTAAGTGACCCTATACATATTTAAATATTACCTACTTGGCTTCATTGTTGAGGCACCTTTCGTGCAGCCTTGATTGATGGGCTGACTTGCAAGTTAAAAACTTATGGATGATTTAGGGCGAGGTCGTCGAGGGAGTGGCGGGGTTGAAGGTGGAGGAGGTGGGAAAACAGGAGAGGAGACATGTTCGGAGACATCTCAGTATTCGGACTACCTGAATTACGGGGAGGAGGATGAGATGGAAATCGAAGGCTATGCACGCTCGAGACCGAAGACGACCATTACCTGGTAATCGAGAGCTACGAAAATAAATAAATAGAAATCTTTGCATGTAACACATTGGTTTAAAATTTATCCATATTTAAAAAATATGCAGGTTTTTCATCATCATCACTCTTGGATTGCTTAGACTTATCTTCCATTGGTGGCCAAGGCTAATGGTGAGTTAATTTTATTCATAATTAATTTAATCATTAATTTAGTAAAATTAATTAATAATTAATTTCACAGGTCTATGCTACTCATAAGCGCGTCCCTCTCGCAGCTGCAGAGAAGGTTCTGATTATCGTAAGTCCAATCCCATTTTTCTTCTTTCATTAACTGAATTGCTGATATCTGGCATGTTTTGGAAAAATCAACCTGTCCTTGAGGCAAATTGCTAGAAATTTCATTTAAGTATTCATGCACTTTCATTGAATCATTGCATGGACATTGACAACAGAATTTGTCATTTTTTATGGGCACATAAACAATCAGCTTTCACACATCAATAGAGATTTACGCCGTGGGCCAGGTTGGAGGACAATTAATTTGAACTCCTATTCCCCATTTTTAATTTCCAGGAACAATACCAACAGAAGTATAAACGTTATCATGCCAAGAACGTTTTTACTGTTTCAAGCCAACTGTTCAGGTAAGGAAAATTGATTCATATTCGTATGAAAAGCATTCCATTATTTAGATCAATAAAATATCGGATCGTATTACAACTTGTCATTAAAGTTAGGCAAAATGGTAAGTGACAAAAATCTGTTTGCGGTACATATGGCTAGCACAAGCCTCTCTTATCGAACTAAACCCGTGCTGCGAATGGGTTAAATTTTAAATAGTTCTATTTGAGCCACGATCAACACGACAAAAGTCTTTATTGCTTCGTCTACAAAATGGAACAGTCAGTGCTTAATGACATATTTATGCCTACGCTTATTCTTGCTCTATTTATATGTACGTGTACATACTTGGATTTTTATGCTGGAATGCATTGATACTGAAAAGATCGTAAAGTTAATATTCCAAGAACTCTGATTGTAATTCTGGAAGCATAGTTTACACATTCAGTTGAAGCCCAAGATCATATCATGTTCCAAGCCTAATGTTAACGTGGCATTGGGTACACATCCGGCATACAGTTTGATTTCAACAAAGGGAGCGGCATAAATATTTGGACCAACGTTTAAATAATGGCTTCATAAAATGGCGGACAAAGTCCAAACGATTTAATGGCTCGGTATTCGCGAGTCACAATAAATAAATCAATATTTTTTATAATGTGCTCTTGTCGCGGGTAGAAATAGCTCAAGTTTTATAGTGTCGGCATGCACTTATTTTTTTCCAGTGATTTAAGTACGCCCATAATTTAAATGTAGCAACAAATGGAAAAGTCTACGAGTCGACTGACGCAATTAATATTAATTCGTCCATGATTTATTAATGGTGTAAACATGGGGAAGACGACTAAAATGTGCAGACTAAGGGCGTAAATATATAGATATGTACTTATTTTGCTGTCAAGTTAACCAGGGCCTGTCTAAAAGTAAAGCCTAGTCGTTAGCACTTTTGTTAATTAGTCTCAGCTTATTGTCAGTGAGATTCGGAGTCTTTCAGCCAGATAGTAGATGACATCAATAAGTAATTAATTGTCCAATGCCATTTTGGTATTTGGACCTCATGCATCTTTCACGACTTCCGTCGGATTAAATTGGAAACCACGCCACAGTACTGCGTCCATGTCTTCACTGCTCTTTTCAATTTTCTGAAAGTGGCGAATCTAGTAATCATTGCGAGTGAAGTGCATGATTTCATCCCGATTCCAGCAATCAGTAAATTGCGACAAAGACCATTGATTCTGAAGTCAAGGTTTTCGTGACATGCTAAACTTTTAAATCCCCTTCGATTTTACATATACCCAAATATATAAAACTTGCATAAACTTGTTGCTTCAACCCACAGTGTCTCGCCGTTTGGCACGGATTGAATAAAATAGCATTTCGGCGTTGCAAGAATAATATGTACGTACTCGACCCTTGCAAACTCCCAATTGGAGCGTGATTCATTCGAGTATTTATTTAGGGATTATGTTCTTTCGAGTACAAAAAAATCTAGTTGTTTACATAAAATCTCATTAGCGAATGCAATAGATTACCCTATTTTAAAGACCGATGCTGTCGTTACTACATGTGCAAATATGCATTGAAAAATGCACAGACTTTCTGGAGCTTGGCTTTTGGAAATGCTACTTTGTCTCAAGTTAATTTCTACGGTGGTATGTGGCTTAAGGTACATAATAAATTTACATGTATGAAGGAAACATTCATATACTGGGACAAATTAATTGTCATTTTTAATATAGCTGCAAGATAGAGCACATTTAGAGATACTTTTGAGCACGAATGTTTCTAAATCTAAATAACCTTTCCCTTCCGCCCACACGAGTCTAATTTAATTTTTCCAGTTTGTTAGCCTTGGCATAGATCCATAATCCCATTGGACCAGGAAATCAAAATAAAGTCGCTCGCTGTTTGTTCCATCGGTTTTTTATGCACACATAACAGCATGCCCGTTTGAGCAATAAAACAAAATAGCGACTTTAAAAATTAAACAAATAAATAAATGGGGACAATGAGGAGGAGGCGTAGACTCAACTTTTTTGGTTTTCATAAACAACCTACTTATTATTATTTCCCAAATCAAAATTTAATTTAATTAGCAATATTAACTCTCGGTAAGTATGAATAACAAAAAACATAAAAGGAGGCTTGGGTGCAACGTGAGATTTTGTATGATGAGTAGGTTTGCATGTTTATTACTACAAAAATACAAGTAGCCAAGACTAAAGATCTAGCACAATTATTTAGACGGCATATACCTGCACTACACTTATGCACTAGTCTAATCTTCGTTTAACTGGAACAACGCGGAGGCTCGATGATCTAACTCAGATTCCTTCGTATGAGTTGAGGTGTTGCAAAATGCTAAGGACAACTGTGGTTGACAGAAGAGAGCATCGTACGTACTTTTAAGAATATGATAACCTCTCCTTTCGTATGTAATAGATTTCAAAAATGGCCTTCAATTTGCTAACCATCATCTCATCTCATGATGCATGAGTAAGATATGCATATATACTTGTACGACGTAGGACAGAATATCTAAAACTGAGCCAAAAGAACAGCTCCTACTTGATTCTGTTGCAGGGTTTAGATTTAGACAGGTCTATTTTTACATTTAAAAAGTCATATGGCAAAGCCAAGCCGTCACAACAGCAACGAATGACAAAGCTCACATGTGAAGCAACTCTCACGAAGAACCGTTACATATTTCCTCGATTTTTGGAGTCACAAGTTTTCAGCCGTTTTCAATCAAAATGATAATGTATGTAGTCCATGAGTTGAACGGAATTCTAACTGCTGCGCTTTATGCCTATTGGTTATTGTCATATACTGGACGCTACCTACTTGTTTGATATACTACTCATGTCGCGTGCAATGGATGCTTTTATTCGCTGCATTGATTTTTCACGACAATGATGGAGCGGTGGTTGAGTTGACTGATTGGATTCCTTGCAGAACAAGACTTGACGCTGCTGAGTCTCAACTTCCCAGCGACATTGAATCAACGACACATTCTTCGTCGTTGAGAATGGTTGACGAAGATGAGTCGCTGGACAAAGACGGGACGACGATGGGCGACATGGTGGTTGACCAAAAAGTATCAAAGCCTGCTGGTGGTGGTCGTGGTTGGTGGTGGCGCAACGCTTTTTCAGATTTTTTTCTCGGACGGTGTCATGGGTTCCTATCTTCTGTAAAACAATCTTCTTCAAGGTATATCCTTTCATCTCAAAGTCTAACTACTTTTTTTCTGAGCTGCTTTCTCCCCGCTTTACGAACGTTCACCTGCTTCACCCACAAAGCTGACCAAGTCCTGAGAATATGCAATACATGCTTACACAGTGCAATGTCTTCTTTACTTTCTACTATTGCTTAGCATCATGAGTGGCTTTGGAGGATGAGTTTTCTTCCTTGTGTATCGACGTGTATGCTTTTTTCCAGTTTCTCTCACAACATGAATATGTATATTTCATCCCAGAATAGATGCATACATTCGCCTATTAGGTGAATGGACTAAAAGAAGCATATGCAGAAAGCTGGTGTTGTTTTAGAATTGCATGTAGATACCTAATTGCTTCTAAAGTCGATGCATAAAAGAGTTGTGCATCGTGCAATGGTTATTGTGGTAGTACATCAACATCACTTGAAAGCAAATATAGATCCACTCATTCAACTTTCACCAAAAATATTTGCTGCATGAGTTAATTATTGCACTAATTATTAGCAGTTTAATTTGACTTACTAATTTTATTAAAACATAAATTTATTCGGGGCTAAATTTTTTGCAGAACCAATCAAATTTTCCTCGCAGCAGGATTACCTCAGGACCAAATTAACGAAACTACAAAAGCATGGGATCAAAAACTTGAACAGGAACTACTCAACATTGAATTTCCACAATTAGCCATTCCTAAAGGAGACGGGAGTATCAGAGGTAGTAAAGTCGACTTTCTCACATATTGTTGCGTATCATCTTTGACAATGATAAATCGCCAAAAGCACAAATACATGCATATTCCAAGCATCACGCACGAATATAGATACATAAATGGCATCACTTTTGTTTTCAGAAACGCAAGCTGTGCGACTTTTTACGTGCAAAAAGCTTCGATATTTATGGGACGAACAATATGGGGCATTTTGCAAATTACCAGGATTTGACTGTGCAAATACGCATCAACTACATGAAAGCAGTGGACTCTCAATTTTTCAACAGTGTCAACGGTAACATTTCTCAAACCCCATTTCAAAGCTTGTCTAATTGTCTCAAGTAAATATACACACAGCAGAAACTTTGATAATAAACTTCAGTTATATGTCCGCAATTTTGGCCGAGTCAAAAGCCAATCACTTGAATTACTTGACTCGATAATGTTTTGGAACTTGAGGAGAACACAAGTATTATTATTGTTAAATCGATCGATCCCATTTATTTCATGTTGCAGGTGCAACATTTCCTAGGATGAAATCAAAACTTGAATTATTTATTGTGTAAATAGATCAGAATTATGGGCAGTAGGAATTTTCTTTCTCCCGTGCACGAAATAAAGGTCGATTCGGACATTGATAGTCATCATAATTGCAATCAATATCCTGTACTTTTCAGTGCACAATATTGTGCTCGTCCTATAGCGTTATGTATGAGTTATGAATATGTAGGTAAACACAGCTTACCACGAGACAAAGTATTAACGACATGTGCTTGTAGTATTTGGTTATATATTTTATGTGTACGAGTTTAATTATTTATTCGTTAACAGGAGACTGATTTATGGAAATAACGAGATCAAAGTCGAAGTAAAAAGCATCGTCAAGCTTTTGTTTCTTGAGGTTCTCAACCCATTCTACGTATTTCAAATATTTTCTGTCAGCCTCTGGCTCTCTGACAACTATATTTACTTCTCTATCGCCATAATTGTCATGTCAGTATTCGGAATCACCTCAACAATCATTCAAACTAGAAAGGTATATTATTTTTCTGCTCCTATGAATACACGTTCAACTCCAGGAAATGCGCACTTCCGTCCTAAATAAATGATAAACCTTTCGAATAATATACTCGGAGCAATTTCTAAATTGATCTGAATTGCTGCGAAATTCAGGTTAATTGTAAATTTGCATAAATCTATTTGTTAATTTTCTACCCACTACTTCTCCTTGCAATTATCTCTTATTTGCAATTACCTTGTTCCTTGCAAACATTTTGATACTCGATAATTTACAGAATCAACAAAAGCTAAGGACAACTGTCCAATCCTCTGATATCGTGATGGTGTCCAGAGGCGGTGACGTGTATGAGCCAATACCAACTGAATATCTTGTTCCTGGCGACGTGATCGTAATAAATAATGGTAAACAAACAATTTTGCTGCATTGATATATATATATCAATAAACTACTATATAGTAGTTTATTAAATATGATTTAAACATAATTCCAGGTCCTCACGGGTGCACAATGCACTGCGATGCTGCTCTTCTTTCAGGAAATTGTATTGTCAATGAAAGCATGCTTACAGGTAAAACAATCCCACCAAAAATTTGTACATTCTCCCAACATGTGTGTCACCGAGAGAAAGCTACAATACCCATCGTATGCTTTCTGCATTTTCGACATGAATTGCGCAGTTGGTGTATAGACAGGAAACTTCTTTGATCATTCGGGAGTATGTGTACATAAATATCTAGAAGATATTCAGGGACACTTGGACTATGTGCTGACTATATGTGTAGAGATGAATTAATATCCATTAGTATTTTCTCTCTCATCTCGGATCTCAAACTGCCAACAGACTCCTAGCTCCAGCTCCCAAACGCCAATGTGCGTAGTACCCTTGACTTGAGAAAGATGTGGGAGAAAGCAGCGCGTGATCTTGAGCTATTAATTTTAGGAAGAGTGCATGAAATTTGGGATCAAACTCCTTTCTCTAAAACTCTTTCCATGCGTGTTTCCAGGAGAGAGCGTTCCTGTCACCAAAATCCCGTTGCCCAACAGACCAGATATCGCGTACAATGTGAAAGAACATGCTAGACACACGCTATTTTCGGGAACTACCGTGATGCAGACACGATACTATGGCTCGGAACGGGTCCTGGCTGTTGTCCTGCGTTGTGGTAAGCCGAACAAATAAACTACATGCCTAATACATAAGAATTGTTACATGCTCTTCAAAGTTGAAACAAAATTGAAAACTTGTGCATACATATAATCGTAGCGAAACAACAATGTTTTCCTCTGACGTCTGATTCGCGATCAATAATAGAATCGCGACTGACTTTATGGTTGCGACGTAGCAGCCATACACAAGTGAAACTGAATTTAACTTTTCCAATTTCCGGTCCGGATGCATGGTTCATTACTAGATAACTTTAGGTCATAGCATCAACATGGTTCAATTTACAGGAAACATTTAGTACTAGCAATCTCTGTTCTGTCAGTTATATGAATATTTCCTTTCTCCCCATTTCTTACTGTTGCTAAAATTCATGGTTGTTTTGATGGTCAGTACTTATGTAGACAGAAAATGAATACAGACTTGAACAATTTCTTTACTAGTACGAACAGTATTTTTCAATATGCGTCCGAGCCTGGTTTATTAACAAATAAAATTTTGTTTTGGCCTACAATTTATTAACAATTGATTTTCAATTTTTATAAAATTATTCCATGATGCAATTGTACATGAAGAATACCGAAAAGAAGTAATAAATGCTTAATTTGTGTGGCTATCGGTCTAAATTTTATAGTCTTTCGCCAACGAGAGAAGTCTAGAGAAAGTTTATAATAATAAACTTAACAACATGTATGATCTTTAATCTGAGATAACCGAAAGCGACGATTTCAGCCTCTATTTCTTAAAAATGTACTTTTGTCTTACTTTGCCCCTTTGTCTTGTTAACCAAAAAGTATCGTTATCTATGCAATTGGAAAAGTGAGAATGTTGAAATAATTAACTGAAAAAGATAAAGCTTTCGCAACCATCAATTGTTTATGAATTATGCAGGTTTTCTAACGGCAAAGGGAAGTTTGGTGAGATCAATATTGTAAGTTACAAACGAATGCAAGTAGTATAATCTAGTGAGAGCCAGTTATCTGGTGTTAAATTAAAACACATGGTCAATGTCAATTTGAAGGTATCCTCCTCCAGTGGATTACAAATTTGAGAGGGATTCCTACAAGTTTGTTGCTGTACTTGCTTGTATTGCTGGAGTAGGGTTTATCAACAGCATATTTACCAAGGTGGGTGGACTGAAAATAGCACATACAACTTTCTGTAATGCGAATATAAAAAAAATGTCTCCTTTGAATGTACGTGTTTTTAGCTACGCCATGGAGAAACTGTTCGAAACATTATTGTTGACTCACTGGACTTGATAACAATAGTAAGTAACCATTCATAGTATTTATTTAATTCATTTGAAACAAGCACATGACACGTAGAAGTATCTACACAACAAAAGTAATAACAACCTTTCCATCACCACCTATCTCTAATTGACTAACTTCCTTCATGACCAGATATGATTCAAACAAAAAAGAGTACATAGACATGAGATCAACAAAATTAATAGCACCCTCAATATGATTCAACTGCTTTGGCATTCCCTTCACTAGGGCCCCTTTGTAGGTCTGACCGACCATCTCTCCAATCTTCAAAGCTGAGTGAGCAAGGGTTTCATATTTATTGGCAGCCTCCTCCATTTTGCAAAATTCCGCTTCTTCTGCTTGGCTGAACTTGGTACGTTTAGTACTGGAAACTACATTTTGCAACAACTTCGGGATAGGGCTTTGAAAAATGACCTCGTGTTCATCATCTGTGAATGAATCCATCCCCGTTTCAGCCTTTACAACATCATGGTATGGAGATTTTGCTCCAGCAGTTCGTAGTTGTATGCAATTTTGTACCCCCGTGTAGAATTGACCTTTATCGTTTCTTCCGAGATAGACATACGGCAGACAACGATTAATTTCTCCTGATACGCCTGGTGGAGTCGAGTTAGCAGACTCTTGAACTTGATCTCCCTTTTCGAAGAGCACCCCGTTGTGATTCAAAAAAGACTTCACCCAGGTTAAGTCAACCCCAACGAAGAGAATTTTCGAGTTCAACAGTGTAGCACCTCCTTTTATCATCACCATCAATGACACAGCCAACTGCAATTATAAAAATATACATTTTAATTAATGGTGACAGTCATTATCAATATGTAAAACACTTACATATACAGAAGCACGGAGTTTGTTGTTGTCATCCTGATAAGGCCAGCGTCCTATGATCCGAAAGAAAGTCTCTTCTTTACTGGCACTTTTCCTTACAGCATATTCATAGAGCTGGATATTTTGATTCCGTAATTCCGTCCCCCCATCCATTTCTTTTCCTCGCCACAATTTCTTAGCCCCACACCCAGCAATTTTTTTTCGTATTTCACTCTCAGTGTAGGGGTGACTTGTGGGGTCAAGGTTTAACAAGGCCAGCACAGGGGGAGTAGCTCGCATATCTTGAATTAATAAAACTTCTCTGGGGGCATGAGTCGAACAGAACTTTCCAACCTATAAAGTAATACAAACGTGTATTATCTTATCATAATTATAATTGCAATCATAGTTATTAACGATCATGATTTCATTTACCTGACACACTGTAGTACAAGCAGAAATGCTACATTTCTGCTGACGACCCGACCATCCATTGAATTTCCACTCAGTCCCAACTTTTTTCATTTTCACCACTTGTAGCAACCCATCTACCAGTTGCATCGCAATCTTGTCATTATTATAAAACACTTCGAGGGGGGTGTACTTTTCCGTGTCATTCTTGGATTTTTTGACGTGACTAGCCCACTTATCACTCAACTTCTTCCTCTCGTCCGATTCCCAGAAAGATTCCATTGTCCCCTTATATCCACTATTGTCAATCATCCCCTGTAACATAGCTTTGATGATTGACTCCGCTTTCACTTTGGTGGAGGTTGACGGAGATTCGTCTTCAATTTGTAAAACTACAAAAAATACATTATTATTATCATGTCATTAAACAACAATTTTTATAAGGAATTAACTCACCATTTAATTCAACATGTTCTCCTTGAGAATTGCAAGTCATTAAATTAAATGGGGCTTTTGACACGGGCATATCCACCAAAATCCTGATCCGTTTGACAGGGACTGGATTTTCCTATAAAATAAAACATTTTCTTACTCATTAACAACAACTAAATTAGAGTATCAACCTTACCTGATTACTATCCTCCCCCGACTTATCCATTTTCTTATTTTTCTATCTACAAGTATAATATTTTTGCACGGTGACGGGGAGAGAGAAAAGCCGGCTGAGTGACAAAAGTAAACGAGTATTTACTTGCCCGCGATTGACTAACACTACGGGGGGGGGGAATGATATTATTCATATGTGATGCTTTATGCAGATTATCATATATTATCATTAATATTAATAATAATATTATATTATTATAATAGGTGGTTCCCCCTGCACTGCCAGGTTATTAACCAACGGAAACGGAATTTAGAATTCTATGTCTGCCTGCTTTAAGAGTATTTAATTCCTTAACAGCTGCCATGACCGTGGGGAGGCTATATGCACAGCGACGCCTTCAGAAAAAGGGGATTTACTGCATTAGCCCAAGAGCAATTAATGTTTCTGGATCAATTGACTGCGTTTGTTTCGACAAGGTTAGTGTTGTGTATTTTACTATTTATTTGGAAATGTCATTTAGTAATTTATGGAAACCAAAACTTGTGTATGTATATTATACAGAAGCCAATTCACACTTGTTTTTTAGCTCAAATATTTATGTCATTCCATAGTTTATTGAAGTCTGTGTCTTGACCATAAAACTGGAAATACTGTATTAATACTGCAGAAATTAGCCACCTGTCGTTCCTTTATAGGTGACCTACACGAGCTGGAAATCACTAGTCCTTGTTTTCTCTGTTTTCTATTCAGCTGAGTGCACACTACTAGAAATAGAACATGTCTGATCAAAAAAGCTATTCATTAGGTCCTCTCAAGGCTCAAAAAATGAGCGAAATGAGCAATGAGCAGAAAAATAAAAAATCAGATTTTTCTGCTCAAACCTTGAACGTACCACTTTTTTTATCGATCATAATTCTTGAGAATCGTGATCTTTATTTGTGGGAAGTTCAATTATTTGTTTATCATTTTAATGGTTCTAAATTCAGTTTCATAATTCATACAATTCCGAAAATAACTGAACGTCAAGAGATATGAGAAATTTTATCATTGTGCATGGCTTTAACATGGCTTTTAATGGGTTTCAACAACAGGCATTGTGAAAATATTGCAGGAGAATTAACGAACAGCATTATCTCAAATAATTCATTTTATGTAGCAGCAATAAACAATTTTATGTATAAATCAAATGCTTAAAATTTAGATGTAATAGTTTCCAATTTAATTTTGAGTTCCAGTATTTTTATTTCGGCTTCGCTGAATCGTAATTTTATCGCATTGAAAATCATTAGATTTGATGTAATTGAAAGAAATGACCGCACTTTTGTCCAGAGTTTCGTCTTTCTCAGGGTCAATCCCAAAACCCGACTGGTTTAACTTCTCTTTAGTCTCTGTGTACGTTTTAAGAAATCTGTCAAATCCATTTTTTATTTGACTTTCTTCGCAATTAAGGGCAAAGCATCTTGGAGACGACGAAGGAATTCAGTGCGGTTGGTCACCTGCTAAAATATTTTTTTGCGATTAAGGATTTGGTTATTCAAAATTACATGTGGATAACAAATTATCATTTACCTTACCTTAAATGAGGTGTTATTGTTGACGACATAATATGCCATGTCAATTTTTACTTGTGCTGTCCAGCGAAATATTTTTCGGCCGCCTACCTCCACGACGCTACTTTTGTTACAACAAATTACGGGATTTGCAACTTTTTCGACACTGGTACGCTTAACCTGGGTCTTGGGACCCATAATGATAAAGAATATGTGAGAACTTTACTTAATTTTTAAACGAAAAATTGAAGTAAACAAACAACTGATGTGCTGATGTGGAGCAGAATGAGCAGGATTATGAGAGAAAAAATCAACCCAAAACTCGATTTTTTTGTTGAGCAAGAAAATCTGATTTTGAGCGAAATCGCATGCGCACAGCCGAGCAGAAATGATCAGAATGAGCGATGAGCAGAAAAATCAGATCTTTTTTAGAGCTTTGAGAGGACCTATTAATATGCTCTTCATGATTCAGGAGTTGAGTCTGTTGAATTCTGTTAGCTGTTTGATGTACATATGTATTTGTATGAAAACTCATTGAAAAGTCATAAAGGAGAACATGATCCATTTGATGAAAATCTATTCATCAAAGTATTTAGTTTTTTTATACATAAAGCTTGAGTGAGTAGCATGGATCATTACTTCATATTCTGTTGTCAGACTGGGACGCTGACAGAGGAGGGGTTGGACTTGTGGGGGGCTGTTCCATCCAGCTGTGAAACGAGGAAGTTGGACGATGAGACGTCCGAAGACTTTGCGACGTTCCAAACCCCAGTTCGAGAAGTGAGCAAACTGGCACCCGGACCATTGTTTATCGGAATGGCAGCTTGTCATTGTGAGTTAATTAATGTTTTGTCGTAGGATTGACTTCTTCCAAGAAACGCTTAATTTTCCTTAACTGAAGTGAAATGTATTTGGTTGTGAAAGCCGTTTTAATTTTTAAAATTTCTCGGTAGTTATATTTATCAATCAAGTACATAGATCTAGATCAGTGAGTTTCAAGTACAAATTGTAATAAAGTCCATGCGACAGCAAAAGTATCACTTGGGGTGAAGTGAAATTTGAGATTTTGTTTACCTTGACTAATTACATCATTGCATTACAGCCTTGACTTTAATTGACGGTACATTAATCGGCGACCCATTGGACTTGAAGGTATTAGAAAACTGATAATTACTTATAGTAAGGTTATCAGCTAATAGAAATACGAAAATTAAATCGGTATAAAAATAGATGTTCGAGTGGACGGAATGGAGTTTGGAAGAGCCAGGAGTTGCAGATAATGAAAAATTTGATAAAATTGCTCCAACTATTGTTCGTCCTAAACAGAGAGAAGTGAACGATAATTTGAATATTGTAAGTTACTTTATATATTTGGACTAATATTGAAAGTCTCTCACCAATTGGTTTTGCAAACTATGACGTTCCACCATATATATTTAAGGCATTGATTTTGTATGCACTATATCGCATAGAAGCATACTGATACATATATGTATCTGTCAACTGCTATACATTAGTCTTTCATTTAATTTTCTATTTCTTAGGCTGGAGACACGGAAGTTGGCATAAGTCATGGCATAATCAGACAATTCCCATTTTCCTCGTCGTTACAACGAATGTCGGTCATTACCCGAACATTGGGTGCGTCTGAATTTGAGGTTAGTCTACTTCTCTATCCAACTTGACTGACTGTGTACAGCTCTTAAAATTGCGTGTTTGTTAAGTACTTGCTTCACATGATCATTTTAGGAAGAACAAATTTATCTTACCTTCTTTATATTTTTCACAGCTTTACTGCAAAGGATCTCCAGAAATGATTACGTCACTCAGTCGAAGAGAAACAGGTAAATAAACCTCAGTTTTGCGCTACAATGTATAACATGTTTGAAAACAAATGTGAGACAATTCGTTTTCGCATGTTTACTTATTTCCATTTCCTGACAACTTTTTGTAGTTCCCAAGAACTTCAACTTAGTTTTGGAAGCATATACTCAAGAAGGTTTCCGAGTGATTGCCATTGGGTACAAGAAGCTTGGTCTCAACTATGCAAAGGTATAAATGATATTTTTCCATCTTAAATGGTCAACGTTGTTTCCCTTGTCTTCATATTTAGTTGCACTTTACAGGCTCAGAGAGTTGTTCGAGAAGAAGTGGAAACAGATCTGATCTTTTTAGGCTTGATCGTGTTAGATAATCGCCTAAAACCCGCCTCTAGCACGGAGATGGCTACATTAAAGAAAGCCGGCATAAGAACAATCATGGTGACCGGTATGTTAAATACAATTTCATGAGGCTCTACCAATCAACACTTTCACTAAAGTTTGTGAAATCCTGCAATTACAGGAGACAATATGTTGACTGCGTTGTCCGTAGCAAGGGATTGCGGAATGGTAGAACAGAATGCGAAAGTCATTGTCATCAACGTGGAGATGGATAAAAAGGATAAGAATCGAAAGCCTGCAATCTCTTTCTCAATTGTTAACAAGCAGGTGTGTGTTGCTTTCATTTTATGCACATAAATTTTCTATCTCTTTGATATTTCTGGTTTTTGTTATGAATACAATCTCGTTCTGGGAGTAATGAAATTGCATTCATTTTTGTCCTCCTTGCACAGATTGTCAGCGGAAGTCAGAGCCCTGTGTCGATGGAGAGTGGAGCTAGTTGTTCCACCATTGAACAGAATTTAATCAACATGGAAGCCGCTTTGAACCGATATCACTTTGCTGTCAGTGGGAGTGCTTTCGCTGCAATAAAACTCCACTATCCTGATCTGCTATCCAAAGTCTTGGTCCGAGGAACCGTGTTTGCTCGAATGAGCCCAGATCAGGTAAGAATCAAAAGCCGGATTCATTTATTGAAATACCAATTTTATCTCAACAACATGTCTTTTATTTTCTTGTAACAGAAACAGCAACTTGTGGAACATCTTCAGGCAATACAATACTTTGTCGGTAAGCAAACATGGCCATGTAATAAAAATAATGATAGTATCAAGTTCATATTATCAACTATGTCAACGAAACGGGGTGCACTGTTCCTAAGTATTATCAAAGATAACGTTTCTATCATCTCGTTCTATCTCTTCCTAGAAAGTATGTAGTAGATCTGCGTCATTGGCTTGGGTTCATTTGAGCAATTTCATTGAAACGACCGTTGACAAGTGCCAATCATATTATGCAGATTTTGGTCTGTGGTTCTGAATGGAACAAATTGCGTGCCTTTCATCCAGTTCTATTAATCATGCTCAACATAGTCGGACCTAAATTCAAAAAGAGTTCGACAACCGGGAGAGGACGTTTCATAGACATCGTTGTCTGCTAAATGCATACACATTTGTTGTATACACATACGATTCTTTGACATTAGACAAATATTTTTAGTACAAGTTAACAACTCATCTAGCGATGTTAACGAGGTAAAAATTCAAACTCAAGTCGTAGGAAGTATGATCGTCGAGATTATTCATCCCAAGTCAGCTCAAACACAAGATCTATATCATTACATATGCACATCACAACACCACTTATTGTATCTGATTTCAGGAATGTGTGGAGACGGTGCGAACGACGTTGGTGCACTCAAGGCCGCTCATGCCGGTACGCTGAATACTTTTCAAATTAAAATCAAATCTTATTGGGAATTAAATCAAGTTCAACTTTGTATGACAGGAATTTCACTTTCTGAGGCTGAGTCATCCGTGGCGTCACCTTTCACTTCCACTGAATCTAATATAAAATGCGTCCCTCATATCATCCGAGAGGGTAATAAAGTGTTGCCTAATTACCTAATTGCATTCATTTTTGTACATGACACTAACGATTTCCTTATATGTTGCTCAGGTCGAGCCGCCCTTGTCACCAGCTTTGGTATTTTCAAATACATGGCAGTGTACTCTTTGACTCAATTCGTCTCCGTTATCATTCTGTACACAATTCAATCGAACTTGGGTAAGTTTAATTTGCATTATTTTAGTTTATTACGTATTGAGAATCGTACGAATTTATTATGTATCGAAATTTGAATTGCGTAATCTAATTGATTCTGCAATTCGCAGGAGATCTGCAATTTCTGTACATTGATTTGTTTCTCATCTCCATCTTCGCCCTCTTTTTCGGCCATACTGAACCCTACGATGGACCCCTTGAGAAGGTAGAGAAGCACAAAGATATTGACTGTTCTTATATTGTTCTTATTGTATGTTCTTATATTGTTCTTATTGTGTGTTCTTATATTGTTCTTATTAACTTGTTCTAAGCAACCTCCATCTGCCAGCCTGGTTTCGGCCGCACCCATCATATCCATCCTCTGTCACATGGCATCCATCGTGGGCATCCAGAGTTTTGCGTTCGCGTTTGTCCAGTATCAGTCCTGGTTCAGCCCCTACGTTCACAAAGAAGATGAGTATGCCAGCTATGAAAACTATACGCTCTTTTCTGTCTCAACGTTCCAATACATCATCATGGGTAAGCAGAAGTATTTTTTGGTGCCGTATTTATATAATAATTGAAAGGCATCTATTACTAACTATTACCAATAATGCTGATGATAATTAATTAAATATTGTTTTCTAGCCATCGTCTTCTCCAGAGGAAAACCTTATCGAAAATCTCTACTGACAAATCACAGATTATTGGCTGCTCTAATAATTCTCACCTCGTTCACGGCCTACTTGGTCCTCAGTCCATGTTCTTGGCTGGTGAAAAATTTGGAACTTCAACTCCCTCCGTCATACGAATTTCGGTTTACCCTGCTCGTATTCGCCCTGGTCAATCTCATTACTGCGATAATTATAGAACATGGAGTCGTCAATTACTTTGTTGCAAAGAAATTTGGCGTCGATCGGACAAATGGGAAGAAAGAACATGCCCGCATTGAACGAGAGCTGGCGGCTGCAGGGAGCGAATGGCCTCCATTGTCGGATGCATTTGGTGTGGGGGACAAATTGAACCCAGAGAGCGGTGTCACTAAAGGACTTCATTATGGGAACAATGCACGCATTGAGAGTGATGTCGAAAAATATCGACGACACAGTATCACGTTGACCATTCCTGTTCCAAAGATGGACCAATGTAGTCGCCCTCGAAGCCACAATTCCTATGTTATTACGCCTGCTAGTGAACCAGGAGGAGGATTTCATAACAACCATCATGATCAAAATGACTTCAAAGTTGCTGTAGACATATTAAATCATAATAATGGATCCCTCTCCTGAGGCCGCAACAAATGCAGGACAGTTACGTTATTTATTATTTATTGTAAAAAAAATTTCCAACTAGTATACTTTTACCGTAACTTGCAATCACTTTTAATTATTACGTGAGGTTTTCTTGTACAGCGTAGTGTAGCGAGATTTTAATATGCATACAAATGTATTTTCAGTTTTATTTAAACGGACCCCAAATTTATCAATCATTGCATTTGGGAAAAGAAAAACAAGTGTAAAATATGAAAATGATCAATCTTGTCGATGGTTGGTAGAAAAACTTTTTTTTCCTTCAAGAACAACGTTTATTTATGTAGTAAAAATTAAATACTTGGTCATCGTGTTCATTATAATCTATAAATTTATAAATATTCCATTGATCCAGCTCTTGTTCTCGACCTACACATTAGTTTTAACTACGATTTATACTACTATATACTAGAGAATCAAACAATGTTGCATTAATTTTGTACATGAACTTCTGAATTAACTAAGGTGAACATATTTTTCCATCTAAGGCTGCGAATGTTCTTTGGATCAAATCAAATATAAATATAAACACAGTGGAATTAAGTATCAATACATGTAAGTACATACACATTGTCATTATTGTTAATGATCTGATATCCTTTAGGGAAACATAAATCGAACCTTTCAGACGACACAAACCTCTCGTGTGGACATTTAGTAAAATATACACCAACCAACCAATTTCTAATGTGTCTATATACCTACATACATACATGATGGTGTTCCTCTGATAATAAAACTTACTAAAGTAGCATAAACTAATGAAATATGTTTACAAGAAAATATAGCTAACTAGCATAGAATTATACAGTCAGAATGTGTCAATTGTTGTGAAAGGCGTTAATTAAACATGCAAATCAATAAGCATATGTAATTTGTTTTTTTATTATTGCATTGCATATTTACATACGTATGATCACTGATGATTACATTTATTTTATATGTGCACATATTCACATGCGTATCTGCTCAACCCATACGCTAGCTTCTTGTCTTCTTTTCTATGGATCCTGGTAAAGTTGCTGTACGAGTTCGTCGGACATAGGTTCTGGAAGTCCTAGAAGTTGTTTCAGAGGTATCTAAGCTATCGGGATCTTGATTGTCCTGTTCTAACTCCTCCTCCCAATAGGATAGCAGTCGATCTAATTTCTCACGATGGGATTCCAGCTCGGACGAAAGTTCTTGGAAATTTTGCCTCAATTGTTGAACTTGGCGATCTTTAAATGTGTCCATAGTCAATCTGGGATCAAGTCGTTGAAGCCCTTTCAGAGCAAAGCTCCCATTTTCATCATCAGAGAACATTCCGAACGTGGATCTGTTGCTAAACATGGCCACGTTGTCCTCTTCAAATTCGGAAACCTAATTAATGATTTTGCAATTGTTATAAATTATGCAACACGTCTCGAGTTATGATGATGATGATGACTAACAATATTGAATTCTGCAGGTGTCAAATAGGTTTTAAGTCTGTGATCATTTCCTAATATTATTTTTGGTCCATCTTCCTCATCAAGTTGAGTCTCCAGCTCCTGTTCGCACAGGCAGGATTTGATTTTCCGATAAAGCCAGATCAGTATTTCGTACAAATGAGAAATGATCATGAGCGGTGGGGGCAGCAGATGTTTCCCTTCCACTTCCATTACAAAGTTGAAGCGTTGAAATAGCCAAACCTCTAGTGACATTGCGTCTACTTCAGCGTACACCCCATTGAATACGGCGATTAAAACGTTGACGATTAAGATGTTGGCGACCATCATATACACGGCCCAGATCAACGGTATAATCCAATAACCCACAGGGCACTTTACTAATTCACCTTCTCCGCACTGGGGAGATAGAGAATCCGACACGGATTCTCTATCTTTTAAACATCATCAGTATCTTTGGGCCTAGAAAACGATGCACCTCCATGTAGCGATATAATCTGTTACACATGTAGCGAATTAAATTGGGTATGGGCTGGAACTGCTGAAATAATCACGTCAAACTTAAGTAGCTGCATACCTGATATTCCAGTATATACTTGATACACGGTAAATCAAAATACCGTGTTCAAAATAATAGGTATGCCGGAGGCAAACTCCGACCATGAAAAAGGAGACTCCAACAAAGTCAGTAATTTGCCAAATGTGGGATCTGAACTCTATAAGTTTCTGAGCTACAAAAATATAACCACGTTAAACATTCCTCAAATGAAGTAGCATATTAAATACATACGATAATAAAGTTTGATGTAAGGAATAAATAAATTTGTAATTTACTTACCGTAGTTGAGTGCATCAATTAGTAGAAACTCGCGACAAACTTCTAGACCTAAGGAAATCAGGTATGCGACGATATATATTTCTACGAAATGCAAACGTTTCGGATCTTGTGGAACGAGAATTAGGTAACCGAGTAAAATCACAAATATCAAGTACGCAAACTGCAAATGGAAAATAGTTTTTAGCTACATTTCAATTGAATATTTCGTTTAAATACTGTTACATGGATTTTACCGCATGCCGATAAAAATTTGTGATTGGAGCTCGTTGAAATTCATAAAATTTTCGGAAGTATGAGAGAGATTGCTGGGTGGTAACGAAGCTGGAACGCTGGCGTTGGCGTCCTGGTATCTTTGGAAAAGAGGGAGCACTTTTTATTTCCGTTGGAAAAATGGACCTCACATTATCAGTCTGAATCACGACGTGGGAATCGGTCATGTTTTCGTGTTTTTCTATTAACGCAAAATGCTTGATAGAGTCAGGGTGATGGGTTGCATGGTCCATGTGTTTCGAAACGCGCATATTTTCATCAGGCTTGGTAGACGTTTCGTGTCGATGTCTGTGGAAAACATTTCCAACAAATGTGCTTTTCGATTTGGATTCATACGTCATAAGACTTGTGCCATCACTCATGTCGTCATCAACAAAATCATCCATGATACGGCTATGCGTGGGGTTGAGTGGTTTATCTTGGTGTGGCAGCAACTTGAGCTCTTCAGTAGATTTGAATTCCAGAAAAAATATAATAAAGGGAAAGAAAATTCCACCCACAACTTTGAGAGTTGAGTAGGATTTGATATTCAGAGCCCCCATCCACAGATCACACAGAAGTACTTGACAAGATGGATGACCTAATAATGACTTGTGATTTCCAATCACTGCTAACTATGTTTTCGAAATCAGTGAGGTAATTAAGGTAAGAACCGTAATAATGAGAAATTAGCAATTCTTATACCTGAAGGTTTGTCATCTTGCTCCACCGTTCCAGCTCCATCGTAAGCAGCTGTCTCGATAGTTTTTGATCTTGTTTGAAGCATGAATCCACAAGTTCAACTATTAATTAAATCTTTGATATTATTAACGAGTCGATAGTGTAATACATAAAGTAATGCATACAAGAAATATTTTCCCAATCTGTAGCGTAGTTTTGAAAATCGACAGCAAGATTTGGGTTTGATTTCTCTACAAGTTGTTCCGAAATAAACTTGTTTAATTTTATGGCAATCAGGGACTTGGTCAAACCGCCTAATAATAACAACAATAATAATAATAGTAGCGGAAGTAGTAGCCCTTGAGTTAAGAAATATGCTAAAAATACCTTGTCCGTGACGCCAGAGCAGGAGAGCTAACGCGTGTCGTTTAGAAAGAACGGCCCAGACAAACAGATCGTCGAAGGGATGAGCTAAACTCACTTCCTTTTTCGCTTCCGTATTCTCGCCAGCATAGTTTAAGCCCAAATTGGACATAGTGGTCATTGCGTTGGACATCATGTGAATATAGCTGGACTTGTAAATGTGTCCCATTGCGTGGCTAATCGCGACGCCAATATCCTTCAGAGAATGCAAGCATTACATTTTGCCCTGATGTTATTGCTTCGATAATAAATATTAATTACGAAATCATTTGTACGTGAATTGTAAATTTAATTTCTTCCAGTCTGCTGTCGATTGGACCTGTCTTGCGGGATTTGAGTTTCGCCAATTCAGCAACCAAGAGTTTGAGAACGCGAGAGTGTTCCGTATTGTAAAGTATTTCCAGCCTGGTCACAGTCAGGAATCGCTGCATGTTTACGCCATGCTCGAGCAACAGGCTCACAAACTCGAGGCGATTGAACACTAATGCCTCCATCATGGCCACTTCCAAGTGTTCTATAAAAGCATCCAAGTTAGTTTTTGAATAGGTTATAGATAAATATGTCAAATAGGTCATCAATATTTAAACTACAGTAAATTAGGCTTTCCATCTGTACCTGCAGACCACTCTCGACCATATACAAACACTTCCTGTAATTCATCAGTATTATAGCGAGTATTATATTCGATTTATGTTCATGCTACTAGTAGTTTGCAGCCTTTATCGAAAGCTCAATATTAAGTGAAATTAGTAAGAATTACTGACCGATTGGGCTATGTCCACCCTATCCCAAACTAAGGTTAAGAACAATTGTTGTAAAGGTGTAAAGTGCTGAGACCGAAATATTGAACCGAGAATCACCGTGTCGAAAGGTTCATCAGTCAAATGCAAGTTGTAAATGGTCACCTTAAATTGATTTCCAAATATCATAGTAAAAAATGAATAGTTGGAAATAAATTTTTAACTCTAGTAGATTTGCTCTTACAAGATTTTTCTTTTCAATAATTCTTCTCACTTCCGCAAACAGGACGACGCATTGTAATGCATTTACGTGATAAATACGCATCATTTGAGCGTAAATTTCCTCCCTTAAGACTCCAATGTCTGTTTCTGCAGGAAGTTGTTGAAGTCTTTTTAAAATCCACGATATAAAATCAGCAGTCCTGCCAGATCCGGCAAAAACGACGACGGGAGTTGGAGGATCATCATGAAGATAATCGCCAATTGATCGTAAAGTAAATAAACCGCCTTCAATGACAATGCAAACGACAGGAATATCACACCCTCGACCTACATAAGTTTGCATATTTCTAATGAATGTGTAAAAATAGCGAAAAATAGCGTATTTATTTATGTATTACTAGGTCCTGTAGGATGACGGGAGATGCATTTTTCTAACCTTCGGCGAAAATATGTTTCTCCTCCAATTTTGCCAATACTTCCATTATCAACCAGCAGAAAATTATTGTGCTTTGGATTGAGGCATTTAAATTTCGACTGGGCATGTTCTAGCGGATTGTACACTTTGTCCTTGTTCTTGACCAGAAGCTCCTCACGATGTTCGACCAGACCCCATGGAGCTATGGACGAGAATTGCAGCTAGATTTAAGCTCGGAGGATTTAATTGCTGAGTTTGTATGTACACCCACCGATACCCACCGTCACAACTCTTGTTCCCTTTTTGAAAGTGGTATTCCTCTCGTAATGCAGTGCCATTCCAATATGTTTAGCAACACCATCATTTAGTCCGGCTGAAAATATATGTACCTCTCATTCATACCCACTGCATTAATGATCGGCCACTTTATATTTTTTTAAGTAGGGCACATGTAAAAATCCAAGCGTTGCATGATTTGGCAGCCCGAACTAGTCCCACTTGCAGAGCTTTCCCTAGACGATCTGAGAGGTGAAAGTTTGTCGAACTTCCTTGAATTGTAATTAACAGTTTGGGCATGGGAAGACCCCACACCATCGTCATAAGCTGTATAGCCAATTCTGGACTTGTGTCATAGCCTACTCTTACAAAATGTGCTGAAAGAAATATAAAGGCAAGTGAAGTTATGTCGTCACTCCTTCCAATAATTTAAGCTTCAAAGATATATTTTTTACTAAAATTATGTAACATGATATACTAAATAAACGTTATATTTTACCCTTATTTGGATGATGTTCCCCTTCAAATATTACACTACCAAAAGCATCTGCACAAAATTTTGCGTATTAACATAATCATGATTTTACCCTTGATTTCGGTTTTGGTTCGTGGATAATTTATTCATATCGTTTTACCCGTTGGAAAAGAACTTGTGTTGTGGGCAGGTGTCCAGATGGAGTCCAAGCGATGCAAATGCTTCACGTTAGCGTGGTAATTTTTTGGATTTCCACATTGGCATATATTTTCGTCCTCCACGGTAGCAATGTAGGAACTGCATTCACGCTTCGTAATATTCAGCTCGATCCATTTTGGAGGAAGCTGTGCAAGTACGTAAGGAAAACAAATTGCACTGCTTATCTTATATGTAATTTATTCAAGAGTAATAACATGACATTGCATACTCTGATATCATTGGTGCCAGCCATACTGCTTCGAACAAATCCAATAGAGAAAGATAAGTAAATACAAACAAAGACAAGCGAAGCAGGTGTATGTGTAGTACTACTGGAAAATGAATTTTTCATGCTACTTAATAATTTTTATTACGAAATATCATCATTCATAATTTCTATGGAGTTCGAGTTCGACTCATCATCATGCGAACTAAATATTGCACACTTGCCCCGTGTTCTCTTTATACACATAATCTTTCTTTTTATATAACGGGAGGAAGCAGAGAGGGTTTTGGTTTTGCGAACTAATCGGGGAAGAAGTTGGTTGTGTAACCGAGTTGTTGTTAAGACGTAGCAGAAAGGGTGAAGAATATTATTTTGGGTTTTAGCCTTTATACTGGGCCATTAATGGCAATGGCAATGATCTCGATCATATCTCCATCTGATTCAACAACGTACGGTGAAAGTGCTCCAAATCTGATTCAACGAGACGTAATTCCCAGTTTTACGCCATCCTTACTCGTTGTTCGCATTTAAGGCATTTCTCAAATCCTCTCTTACACTATTTCACAAGTGACATAAAGAATTGACTTTGAAGAAGTACTACTATGGTCATCCAGTGGGTTTTATAATATTGTGCAACGTAGAAAACTAACAATAGATTTTAGGTCTTGAGACAATCTAAATATCTAATCTAACAGTACTTTCCCATTTCACTGCTCACAATATAGTTCCACAGATAGGACATGACTTAAGATAAGCGCATTATTACGACACAATCTTGTTACAAATTAGTCAAATTGATGTAAGTTCTTCTGGGTTAAGCTATACCTTTTCCTTTGTTAATTTTAATTATTTATACGCGAATTTGCATTAATGTGGATAATGTCGCCAGTAGTTAACAATACAAAATGCTTATACATTTTCTAGATTGGAAAACTTTTCCTTCACAAGTCTAAAAATGTCTGCTCAGAATAAGAAAGGTTCATTGGATGCCGAAATTAGAGCCTTTGGAGCTCTGCGGCTAAAGTCTTCGTCAGCATCGCCCAAAGGGGATCGACGTTTAAACCCAATGGATGTTGACTTGGTGAGCACCTATTAAATATTTCTTCACATGAAGTATACGAATACAGGATAATTAGACTAAACTATTGATTATAATTACAGATAATTAGAAAACTGCTAAGTTTTCTATCATTACATGAGCTGAAAGCAGCTCGAGAAGTTAATCGGTAAGCTTTTCAACCTTTGTGAGTGTGCCTTGATACAATACAAAGTGGGAATAAAACTCATTGCATTATTTGCATTTAACAACGAAAAAATCGAATGATGGTCGGATATATGGCATTCCAATTGCGGTTTAATTTTCCTTAGTCCAGGCTTGCAACTTGTCGTGACAAAAAAGTTTTTCTCACAGGGAGGAAAATAATAATTTTAAAATCAAGAAATTATAAAGTTTTTTAAAACCATATTTATTCTATAATGAGTAGACTATATTTAACATGAGCTAAAAGTTAAACAGAAATGCAGGATATATGTATAGTGACGAAATTCAAAAATGGATATTGTACAGTATATGTACATTGTGGGAGAAAGAGTGATATGCATGATGTAAAATTTACGTTGTAAATATGAATTTTCATTTTAATTTCAGAATCTGGAATCAAATTGCTTCTACATTTTTCTACCCCTATTGCTCAAAAGTGAGAACGTACTAAATACACATATAAAGATAATTATTTTATTTTATCATCGTCAAGATCTACACGTATAATTTCATTTCTCTTCATTTAACCCAATGCGCAGGTTACACTAAGCTTCAATGAAGACAATTACTGGACAAATTCAAGAAATTATGGCATCAATGAGATGGTAGGTTTAATTCCATCCGATATATATAGAGCATAAAGAAAGGAAAATGTCAGATTAATTAATGCTAATATGCATAGAAAATATCGCTCGTGCATAAATTGAATGGTTTATATCAATTGTCTATAAACGTATCAACGTGAACAACAAAAAACTTTTACATTATAATTACACACATTTATGTCCTTAAAATCATTGCAATTCAATTTTTTCAATTTCACCAGTCATATTTTGGACCCTTTGGTAGCGTCCTTCCTAGGAAGCTATATCCTGTCATGTACAAATTTGTATTATACATAAAGACATCAGACAATAAATTCTGTTAGGAATAAACTTTCCTTCTTCATGGATTCAAAATTAACCAATCTAAAATTTTCCAATTATAAATTGAATTCAACAGGTAGATTTCATACATTTAGTGGAGATGAGCGAAGAGTGCCCTTTTTCCATGTTTGATTTGGGAACAAGTGTCATGCAACCAAGCTCACGAGAAGGGACGATTGAAGAGTTTTTTCAAGCATGCGGTCCTTATATTCATGAATTAACAATTCGAGAGGATTGTGGAAAACCAATCTTTCGGAAGGGGATGTCAACCAATCTTGATTTAGAATCTCTGCGGATCTTGAGAATTCATCTTTTGCAAGCTTGTCCAGAAATTTTGGATAATTTCTTTGACTTTATCAACACCATTGTTCAAGCTGCTTCAAAATTGGATCATATCATTTTAATTAGCCATCACGGTTTTGATGAGGGTGAAGCAGTCATGTGCCTTATTCAGTCCCTTCTCCTTTGCGATATCACCAAAATACGACGACTGGAAATTGAAGCCCAAATGAACGAAATTCACTTGATCACATTATCGGTAAGTTGTGAACCTTGGTCGTTTTCCATTAATGCTAATTGAAATAATTCAAAGTTTGCGAATATTAGTAAACTAAATAAATGTAAAAACTGGTAGACTAAAGTCAAAGGCTGAATAACCTTGAATTCTGATATCTTATAATATTCTGTTAACTTTATAATTTTTCTACTAATTGAAAAATGTATTTCCTCACTAATCTGATTCAACTTTTACTACGCAGGAAATAAATCTTTCTCTTCAACATTTGACCGTGGATTTTTGGGGTTCTCATCTACCGAGTTCTAATGGGATGAAGGTGACGGATCGAATAACTTTGATCTTTATTTGTATCTCTCTAAAAAAACGTAGTGTTTAGTAGAGTAAAGTAATGTAATATAGTAGTATTACCTCCTGAGTACAATAGATTATGGTTGTCTTCTACCATGCTCATGTAAGGTATCGAATATTTTTTATCTTTAAGAGGTTCTTGGAGAGTCAGAGTGCAACGTTGGAGACATTTAAATTGTCGGATGTCGCAATGAGGTGATGATTATGATATTATTTCAATTTTGCATTTCACGAGATATTAAATACGATTTCCATTAATCTGATTAACTTGGTTAAATTTGTCAATTTCCAGCTCATTGTGTGTAATTGAGTTTCCTACAATGCAACAACTGCAAACTTTGAAGATCAAGGGTAAGTATAATAAATATCGATTTCTTTATGCATTGTGTCATGGTTGTCATTTTGCACAAAAGAAATTATCTTTCACTGCAAATTTATTGTACTTGTATTTATCGATGTAGGGTCAATGCTGGGTCGCATATCAGTGACATTTCCTCACATTTGCTTTGTTGACCAATTTCCAAAGTTGAGAACACTTAGGTAACTTTCGTTTTGCTTTGCTAAAATTTTACATTTGACGGCACCAAAAGTGTCACGAAATTGTTTACTGAAATAAATAAAAAATCACTCACAAACATGATCTTACCTGCATAATTTAGCTTTACGGAATTATTTGGTGAGTGGGAAGAATTCTTGAAAACGGGAATGAAACCATCAATGACTGTACAGGAGTTGAAGTTGCCCTCCGACTTTTGTGATGCTGCGTGTTTACGAAGGGCTGCATATTTGTTTCCCAATTTAAAAAAATTGGAGGTGCCCTGTCATCCCATTTTGATAACTGTGGTGTATGAACTTATGCCCAACTTGGAAGAGGTTAGTCTTAATTTATAATTTATTTTATTATCAAACAATGAACTACAATCTATAAAAAAATGTTTTGTTTGTCAGCTATCGATTAACACTCGATATGTTAGCTTGATTGACGACATAATTACTGGAGTCCCACATGATTTGTGTGCTGAAATAAATCGGGAAAGGTGCTATGATTTCGTGATAAAGGACCTTGAAGGATATCAAACCTCACGGTCAATCGTATGCCTAAAAAGTTAGTAAATCAACATATTTTCAATACGAATTTCATCATGAGTATATGGAGCTTAATAACTAATTAATAATAATGCCTTGCACTTTTGCTCACAACTTGGATTTCTGTTACAGAATTGAAAACTCTGAACTTAAAATGCAAACGATCCAGCGACCCTGTAGAAATTACAGAAATTTCATTTTACCTGGCACTCTTTCATATGAAAAGCTTAATCGCTTTGGATTTTGGACTTCGTCCTATGATGGTGAATAAACGATTTTTTATTTTCTATCTTCTAATATATTACTCTTTGATCGTCTGCAACCTTTCTATGATTGGATAATAAATACTTCCATAGTATAAATTCAACTCTATTTGACATTGCAGCTGTCTCGAGAATGCATGGAGGAAATAAAGCAAAGGTTCAGCGTCGTCAGCCTTCATCTGCACCAATAAGCTAATATAGTCGTCCTATCTTGAGAGAATGATGTGTACCTGATAAGTTATTAGAAATTCCTACGATTTTTGAAAGTGCCATGACATGTTCATTACAAAAATATCCCACCTCTGACTTTACATCACAACCAGTCACTAAAAATATGTGAAAGTTAAGTAAAAGTATTATGAGAAATATTGTTCGGTCTGTAACTGTGAAATAAATAAAGGCTTGAACATTTATTGAAGAAAATACTTTTTATTCACCACAAACACAAATTGCCACGAATGACACAAAATAGCACAAGCTTAAATTAAAACTTTCTTATCTCGGACAGCATTATCAATGTTGTGGAGATTTAATCATTTTTGACTTGAAATTCAAAGGAATGATATTGCTTGGTACTGGCAGTGGACGTGCACAATCTGCATTTTTAAATTCGTCTTCAGAGTCCGAATCCGAAGAATCGTGTGCAGGAAGACATTTGCGGTTCATCAGACTCGTAATGGACGTGAGAAATGTGAGGTCGTGGAATACATCAGGAGCAAACCTTCGATTTGCTGCTGCTTTATTGTAGAACCCTTTCAGCTCCTCGTCCGCCAGGATTTCCAATCTGTTTGAATAATAGAGTCGCCTTGTTGGAGCAAACGGTCCACATGTCACATCCGGTTCAGATGTACGCTGAAAGTAATGTAATACAATTGAAATAAATGCATCCGCTTCAATGTTCCAAGTATAATTTTGGAACATTCCTTACTCGATAAAAGACAGGCATAAGGGATGGACAAAATCCACAGCAGCAATGAAGGAAATATGGGGCAAGGGTAAGGACCAGAGTCAAAATGGCGTAGAAAATCAAGCCTCTGTTAAAACGATCCTTTTCTTCCGTTGTCTCATTTTTTGGGTGAAGCTGATGAAAATATGCCTGTGTTATGCAGTAAGCTGCCACAGTGAATTGCGCCAAGTAATTCCCAAGCATCAAGAGATTCGATGCAAGGCCATGAATTTCTTGCTTCGGGGTCAAACAAGGTCCATAAACAAAATAAATGTTGTGCTTGTCCACAAAATGCTTCACAATCATGTAACATAGACCTTCATTGAGATATTACATTAGGTTCAGGGTTAAAATTTACAACAATAATGCGCAAACTTGAGCTTTTGTGCAATTTTGAATTACCAAACGGTGTGATTACTGGGAAAATGAAGCTGAAGACTGCGAACGTGACATAATAAAGCATCGTGTATGCATATTGCGACCCCAGCGGAAAATCGTAAAGCATGCTAAGCTTTAGTGACCTTTGCTCTCCTATTATTTTAATTAATCAGGATCATATTTTAATAATTTCAACCATTAATTTTACCCGGACTTTGAAGACAGCACGTGTATATGCTAAATAGTAGGATTTCAGGAAGTCTGAAATATTAAGCACATGATGAACGTTTTGCTAATTTCACTCGCGGTGTGCATAAAAAAAATTAACATGTATAATGTATTTTTTTGCATGGTGCAAATCATAGTTATGCACATTACCTTATCAATTCTGAAAGAGTACCAACGAAAGTTGCAGTGCACATGTAGTTTACGAAAAACTCTCCGTTCTGTGGGGCAAGGATGCATTGCCACCGAAACACGGTTTTGATCAAATCTTTGTGACTCCTCTCCGCCAGCACTTTTGTGAGTCTAAAGCATAAACGATGGATAAACACCATAAACACAATGGATTATCCAATCTTATAATGTAAAGTTGTATTACGTCACGAGACCAATGCTCGGCAGTATTATGACCATAATAATAAGAAAAGTGAATGTTTTTATCATCCGGGATCTATTTTCACCTGTTTATCCATAGTTAATTGGGAATGAATGTCATAATTAAGAGCTAGCATAATTAATTAATTTCTGCATACTAGATCTAGTCCAAAACCCGGCAAGAAGATCAGAAACGGTCACCAAAGACGGCATTGTTACAGCAAAGAGTAACAGAAGCAGCACTGGGGCCGTGTCATACATAAATCTGGTCTGGAATTTAAACCACGCTAATTATATAAATATAATGCGCTACGCCAGTTTTTAAAATATCTGTCATTCCCAATTATCTTTTTTCAATGCTTATTGTGCACGTACCCACACTTTTTCCATGGCCCCTTCTTCGTTCCCCAATTTATTAGTTTTATTCCTGGTTTTATTAGGAGCTAGCAGGAGGCTTTCCAAAGGGACTACTGTTGTAAGACCTTGGAGCACGTAGACGGGCGTGGTGTAGATGCACATGATAAAAAATGTCAGCATGTTGAGCAAAAAGAACCGAATGTACCTACATATATGCAAAAATATATACACTACGACTGTATTACGCAATACGCCTAATGACTTTTGACTATGTCGCTAATACCAAGCAGTAACTCCAGACCTAATGTTGAGCCTGTTACCGGGTCAAACAATTAAGCATGAATACTGGACATGACGATGAACAATATATGTACACAATAATAATACAACCAACCACAGCAAATCAAGGGAGTGCGGAGCCAGTGATACTTTCCACTTGTCAGTACCTAATCTGCGACTGCATTCAGATTGAGGGATCTTCTTAAAATATTTCATAGCCCAGCTGTGGTCGTTAATGAATCTGAAAGCCATCTCCACATTCTTCGGAAAAAAAAGCAATCAATGAGTTTTATCACTCTGCATAAAGAAATAAAAATATGGAAGTCAATTGTCAGTACCTCGAAGGTGACCACTGCCATTCCTAAACTCCGGGATTTTAACCTTGACCCTGCTTCAAACAGCAACAACTTTTTGCATCGTGCTTCTTCTGTTTCATAAAAATCGATTGCATCCGTCTAGAAAATAATTTATGTCAGTATATTTGAGTAAGCGAGTGTGAAATGTACTGATAAAATTAATTTTTGTCTCCACAACCGTTCCACAACAAAGTCTGCAAATACAGCATTTGTAATAGCAGCAAATACCGCAACAACATCCAACAATTTTTGGAACTTTCCCGTAAAGCTGCCCAAATGCTTCATAGTGTAAAAGAGCTTGCTGAACAGTATTCCTGTATGCAAAAATTTTGCATGGTTACTTATACATACGTATTAAAAATTTCAATCTCGATGAAAAAAGTAAATTCGTACAAGTATTCATAATGCCCGAACAATTCTGAAAAGTTGTAAATGAGCAAAACCTCCCGTATTTCAACGTTGGGGTAAACCTCCTGCAGATGATTTCTAATTGTTTCTTCTGATATACGGGCATTATGGGCTCTCGTAATTCCTTGAATGAAAACACTTCGGAAAGCATCATCTTCATAGTCACCATAACATACAAGATATTCGGAGAAATGGCGTAAAACGATTGTTGCAAGAAGAATTAGCAAAACTGTTAGTGACAAATGAACCATCAAATATTTTGGCCTAAAATATACAACAATCATACACTTTTCATACTACAGCAGAAATGTCATCCTATACATGCTTAATTACTGCAATACATGTTATAAGTGCATACTTATTAATTAGATTTTGAATTGAGAAACGAAGAAAGATGACGGCAGGTGGGTCGTTATTTCTGATACCAGTATTGGATCCCATGTAATTAATAGGAAGAGTAATGGCGCATGAAATTACTGTCCAAATGAAAGTCAACCCAATCAAATGTCGCTGAAAAATAAGATACTTGACGCAATCCGGACCAGCTGAAAAAGAACGAGGTAAATAGGTGTTAAAAGTCAAAAACATTTTGAGTCCTAAATTGGAGCATTTGGGACGAAGGTCGAAACCTATAAGTGGGTATAATATTGGATCTCACCAGCGTGCAAAATGTCTTCGATCCTAATACCACCATGGAATGCAAATATTTAGGTGATTGCACAAAATTACTGAAAAGCAGTGGATCTTTAACACTCACTCCAAGGAAAATGTTGTTCGAATCCAGCCAAAAAGTGTACGATCCTGTAAAATTGCATGGTCCAGTTCCTGCTGCCTCGCTAACCATCTCAATTTGAATCGATCCTGTGTCTCGCATCCGAATGTATCTTTGGACTTTTTGTATAATGATGGATTGACCGGGTCACCTGGTCGACGTATGTTCCGACCTCTTGGCTCAAAAAATTGCTTCGAGTCTCTGAAACCCAATCAATCTCTCATTTGAAAGATGTAAATCAAAATGTAGAATTAAAAAACACATGACGTAGTGCAAGTAATGCGTTCACTTACACTAGATCTTCGTTGTGGGTGTGCCTCTTGATAACTGCCCACACACCATAATCCCATAGTCGGCGTCGGAGAAAGGAGAAAATTAGAAGAAAAATCTATGTTTGTATACATGTTTTGTAAAATATGAGAGGCAAATAAAATAAAAATTCTAATTAACAAGATTTAAAGCACTTACGACAAATCCAAAGAGGCTAAAAATTATATTTTGCCGAATGCCAGAAAATCCACCGGAAGCTTTGCTTCTTTGATACCTTTCATAAATGTTACACAGCTTATTCTTTTCTACATTAGTGCCATTTGAACCTTCCATGTTTCTCCCGAAAAGAATTCAGATTTCCGAAATTGCGACGAAGTGCTTTAATCCGATCAGAATAATCATTCATTTAATTGGTATAGTTCGACAAAGACATTTCGCTATTTTGTGACTATCAAGATTATTTGTCGCTTTATCACTCTTAGGTGAGGAACAAAATGACTATAGAAACAAAGGACTAGATGCTACATCCTCTCTTTAAACTGTGATACTCATTCTCTGCAAGGTTATACGTGGTCGCCCTCTTCCCTTCAATGAGGGCTGTGATCTTTGATTGGATTTCTTTAATAAGGGACAAGCCATTTCTACCCTATACTCCTGTCGTTTTTTGAAACAAATTGTTTACATGAGCTAAAAAAGTTCACCGAAGTATGCATTTTAACCTCCCATGATGTCAATTAATTGTGGACAATGCGTACATTTTATTTCATCAACAAACAAGTTCAATAATCTTGCCAGTACGGCATACAATTTTCAGCCGGGGTAGGTTTACTTGATTTGAATCTGTGGTGCAGCATGTACGTGGTTCCAATTTAATTCAATTTTCTTTCCATCAAAGTCGACAGGTTTCACCAAATGATCAGAAATCGGAGCAAGCTTATTCCATTCCAACCTCTCATTCTCCTTTCTGCCGAGTTGCCTTGCACATGTAGATGAGGACGAGCAATCTGGTGGATCAGGCTAGGAGATGAATTTTTAACCCTTCAATTGAATTTCCTTGTCTTGTTTGATGACTTCAGAGCCTGAGTGAGCAGTCAAATCGCAGTATGTATCGGTTCATGAGCATCTACATCAATGTTTTACGCTCCTCCACGCACACGACGCCATTATGGCAAATTCGTACAAAGTGCAATATCAGAGAAACTGGCGAATCCACTACGGAAAGAGTGGTCCATCCATATCTGTAATTGAATATATTAATACAGCCACAAAATTAATTCGCCCCTCGCTTCCATAAATTGGGGTCCAGCTCTTGCTCAATTTTTCTTCTTTCATCACCAATGTACTGATGTATGTACTTATAAGTTGATGCAGGAATATACATACTCTTATGTAGAGGAGGTAGAAATCGCTGGGTATACATAAGTATGTACATATTTGCAATCTGCGTCGAGGTAGAATAAATGTGGGAGTGGATGAAGATTGTGGGTGAAAGCGTGGAGGAGGATGAATCATCAAAGGAAATTATTATGTTGGAAATTGGATTGGGATCTTGTCGATGATGATGGAACGTGTTTCTGCATTTTGCATATTGCACGAAAACAGAATTATGTGGGAATAATGCGTAGTATAATATCAGCACGTGCGACTTTTGGTCTTGCACGCTTATTTTGTATTTCCAACTCAAGCTCATGAAATCAACCTGGCTTTTGACCTCCTATGGACAGGTTAAACCTGCAAAAGGTCTGAAGGAAAAAAAATCAGATATTACTTTCAACATGTTTGTTATACCGTCAACCATGTTTAAGCCAGTATGTGTACAGGTCTTTGGAAGAAGCAGATGCAGAAGAGATAGAAGGTATTTAGAAACTGTCGGTTCGTACCAAATCTATGCCAACTTACTGACAATGATGTGTGTATGTATTGAGTTTAGAATACTGCTGACGGATAGATTCTGTTTCTGCATAATCGTACAAGAAGCACAATGGAAATCAATGGGCATGCCACCACTGTTCGAAATGTACGAAAATAGAGAACTACATAATCTCACATCTTTTCTGTTTTCCTTTGAATGCTGCGTGAATGAGCAAGTGTTTTCTTTAACTCGGTTGGAGTTTTTAGCACCGAATGCACAAGAAATCAAGATACATATGTATGTATCATTGACTCTGTATAATAAATAGCGTATGCCTTCAGTTCGTCATTACTTTTCTATGACATTCAAGTCTAATATAGATCACATTTCACATCTCTCATACACCGTGTTCGGTACCAACAATGCAAGCATTATCCTTGAGCATATGTTGTTTGCCTATCCGAGGTTTCGGAATCATCATACGAAACGTAAGAATTGAACTACATCAACAGGCAAAAACTTTTTATTTGAATTGTTTCATATGTATACTCCTAAAAAAAGTAAGAAAGGAATACTCTGCGAACTCTGGGAATACAACAATGCTTTCCTCATGATAAAAAATACAATTCAGAAGATAAACACTTGTTACATCATTGAATTTTATTAATAAAAGTATGAAAGGATACAAGGAGCTTCTGGAGTCATCATCATACTACTGTTCTGTCATTTGTTGGTAGAACATGCATACTTACTACAGGCAGACTGCTGTGGCGTAGACATGTAAATAAAATTTTCTCGGTGAACTATCACTCCTAGTCTTACTTAGGACCAGCAGAAGAAGGGGATCGTGACCATGCTCTTGTCCTGTTGTGGTTGTGTAGTGGATGAGAGTGACTGCAATCATCTACTGCTTCCCCATCATCAGATGGGATGGAAATGAGATGTAAATTCGTGTCCAAAAGGGACGAACAAATTTTAAATGCCTGCGAGCAAAAAAGTAAACGTGATCATGATTGTAAACTTCATGATGGGATAAAAGTGAAAAGCGTGTAATTGTCTCACCACCAGGCAAACCAACCGTGCAATGTCATTACCTTTATTTCATTTCGTTCAGCTTGAGACCACGTGGAATTTCCTGCAGTGTGTCTCACATAAGCAGACTTTTTGCTAAATACTTAAGCGTGGCTTCCTTGTCGTGGTGGTTCGCATTGATTAAAATCACAGAGACTGACACTTGCCTGTTGTTTCAGTTACAAGGAGCATTAATTTATGTACTCACTCCTGTATGTAGCTACTCGTGGAAGAAGAATGATGCCAGATTAAGAAATCGGGAGTTTTTCGCCACAAGTTAAATAAGAAAAGTGCATATTTTTAGCGAAATCAGATTTGCAGATATTCAATGTCCATCAAAATACTTGTACATACATATATGCATGCCACAGTTCTTATTATTTTTTACAAGCATGTTT